CTGAAGAGTTATACTCCCATCATGCCCCAGGTAAAGACAGGTTCTTCCACTCCCTCAAACAGAGGAAAACAGAGTGATCCGACACTCCAGTGTTTGCTCCAAGTGTATTCCCTAACAGTGACAGCACTTTCGATTAAATTGTATCAGCAGTCAAAAAACTGCTTTCAGTTTGCTCTGCTGTGCAACAGTGCTTAAAAGTGAAATGTCCCTGAGGTAGAAGTGGGTTATTTAAAAGAGATCTGCACAGCAAGTAGTCTAACTTTTACCTAAGCTGGAGAAAACAACATCCTTAGTCATCTGCCACTGAGAGTTTGTGTATGGTTGTGCACCATATGCACGCCTGACGATGACATACATGCCGCTGAAATGATGATGCAAGTGTCTCGGCCTCAACGGCTCTATCTCATCTCTATAAACATCATGCGGCATGACTTCATCAGCTGAGAGGACACCCTCTGGATCAGCTCTGAGACTTTAATGACATGCTTAACACTTCTGCAACTGCACACGTGACGTCCGAGGAAACACTGACAAGGTGGATGACCTAAGGCTTTGAGTAATGGTCCAGCGGATCTAAAGTTGTGGTGCTGAATGACAATTTTAAGGCGGTTTTTGTGTTTGATTATGAAAAGAAAAAAGACATAGGTCATCTCTCTTGCAGCACTAAAACGAGACACCTAATGTGACAAGAGCTAAACTGGCCAAAATGTAAACGTCACTCCATTGTCCGAAAATAGACATCCAACAGATCTGCTACATCCATTAACAGCCCGGAATAAACCGAAACCCAAACAGACACACGCCAACAACGCTACATGAGCTGAAAAATGGCAAAAAATGGACATCATAAAGAATTCCTGCTGAGACATTTGAACCACTCAGAGCTCTCACCATAACATGTGCTTTACCAGAGCAGTTATTAAACTCAGTTTAGCAGCTCCAGAAAACTTCTGATGACATCAAGATAAGAGTCTTGGCAGTCGTCAGTGTTTAGTTCAGGGTTTTTCCATGGAAACATATCGACACTGAGGTGTCCAGGGTGATGTGAAGAACACATGTGAGCGTATGAGAGCTCTTTTTTTTTTTTGGGTGGATTTTATTTGTGCTTTATTATGAGGATCCAAGAGGTCAAGCCCACAAACTGAGCGCAAGGGGAGCCGCATGGTATAATTAAAGTTCTGAGGAATGAAGAAGAAATTAACGAGACGCACATTGTTCAAGAGTCTTTTCTCCTTATATGGTGCAAACTTTGTCAGTGTGTTTGTTAGTATAACGTCATTTATCTTGCAAAAGGACAGAATGTGTAGCTGCGGGGCACATGCTTCCTAAAGAAATCACATCAGCACACACACAGACTTCCTAGTGACTAAAATTTATGACAAATGACTCACAAACCAAAATTTACAAAGCTCTCAATATTGCTTGAAAGAGTACTGATCAAAATGGAGTGAAGAAAGGTAACATGCTAATCTGAAAATTCAAACACCAAATAATGAGTCATAAAGTTACGAGTCGTTGGGATTCACAAATTCAAAATGGGACGTCAATGTTTTGTCAAATTTAAGTACAATCCATCAAATACTGTCAGACAAACCTTCACTTAGTAATAGAGAAACAGTAAAGGGCTCAGCTTTTCATCTGGGCACCATCAACAATCGCTAGAAATTTAGTGCCAAACCATCACACACCCCACTGAGTAAAAGACGGCTATTAGACATCTAGTTTTTTTTTAGACCTAATTTCAACCGTCTAGATTCTGTATATTTTTAGACAGAATTTAGACGTTGCAATTTAACCCATTATTCAATAACCATTTCAAAATGCATCTGTGAGTTGCATAACTGATCTCCGAGTACTTTACCAAAATAATTACGGTACTTGTTGAGCAAAATACAGTGAATTATAGATATAGCCCAGATTTAAACTTGGTCTAAATTAAGACGTCTAAAAAATTTCATTGTTAGACCTGTGGTAGCCTGATTTTAGACCGGTCGTCTAGACTACATTTAGATGTCTATTAGACCAAAAAATGCTCAGTGGGTTAAGACGTCTATCAGACCTCTTTTAGACTAAAAAATGCTCAGTGGGATGCTAATTGGTTCAGTTTTTAATGACATGCAGAGCAATCTGAAAATTCAAACACGCCCATATGTCCTGCTTTTTCTGCAATGTTATCAGTTTGGACCAAATAATGAGTCACAAAGTTACGAGTCATTGGGATTCGCAAAGTCAAACGGGACGTAAATGTTTTGTCAAATTTCAGTATAATCTGTCAAGACAGACCAACAAACCTTCATTTAGTAATGGACATACAGTAATAGGCTCAGCTTTCATCTGGGTACCATCTATTAGACATCTATTTTTTTGTACATTCTAGATTCTGTATATTTGTAGACAGAATTTAGATGTTGCACTTTAACCCATTATTTGATAACTATTTATATCAAAAAGCAACTGTGAGTTGCGAAACTGATCTATGAATTATTGAAGCATAACTGAATTATGACAGCCATTAAGCGATATACATTGTAGGCCTCTTTTAGTCTAAACTTGATCTAAATTTAGACATCTAAAAAACTTTCCTTTTTTGACGTGTGGTAGCCTGTTTTTGGACCAGTCATCTAGGCTACATTTAGGCATCCCTTAGACCTCTTTTAGACACAAAAATGCTCAGTGGGACACATGGTTTGATATTAGATAACACAATTTGCTGATGATACAACAAACCAAAGCTCGCCAATACCAATGTCATGTTAGTTCATCCTCAGGGGAACGTGAATCTCAGCAAAATTTCATTGCAATCCAGTGGACAATAAAAGGCATCCAAAAACCAAATAATGTTAACCTGCTGATAAAACCAGGGATCCAGGGAAAGTAAGATTTATCCACGTCTTGACTATGAATGAACGACCATGTGTGGTATAACACTCCCATCTTGACACTTTGAGAACATCTTTGGAATAAAATGAAATCCTTTTCTCTGCCGTCTGTGACAGCAGTTAGAAAAGGAGAATACAAATCAGCTGATCTAGACACTGGAGACAAGAGAGTTTATTCCAGGACATCTGTGAAACCAGCTAATCGGCACGTCTGTTGTCCCAGCTCACATCTTCTTGAGCTCTCCATTAACCAAAGACAAGAGGACTGAATGTCGGAAAGGTTCTTAGAGAGAGATCCCCGTGACATTAACAATGACTCCGACAGAATGTGAACTCCAGGAATGAGGAAAGCCGGGACTATGATTCAACCAGGAAGCTGCTTCGTTGACAGGCAACAGGTCTGACTTTGCTGCCTGTATCGTGTTACTTCTCTTCAGTTTGGACATCCCCACATTGTAACTGTTTGTGAGGAGTGAAATGTGTGAATGTCATCCCGGAGCTGTATGTTTTCTTTGGTAACATCAAGGCCTGCCCTCCCAAAGGTTCTGAGGAATTCGGCGTCTCTAGGTGGAGCCACTGAGACCTTTTCACTCTCAGATACAATGTTAACAATCTTGGCGGGATCTCATTGGAGTAATGGATGTGTGGGGATTACCAGAAACCACAGACAATCATCCCAGATAGGTTCACTTCCACCTTTAAATTACGGCCTGCAAATGGCCTTTGATTTGCTCTGTGCTTCAGAAGCCTTTCTGGAAATGAGTGCTGTTGAAACTGCCAGGGTAAGTGTTGGACTGAGACCCAGCTTCCACGAGAACAGGATGTTCTCGCAGAATCCGATTCATTATTTATCCAGCGAAGCCGCACACCTAGTCTGATCTCACACAATTGACTGAAGGGCGTGTAAAATCTCACAGGCTGTTAAAATGTAGTGTCAGCTATCAAAAATACAACCCTTGGGTTGATGTGAGAGACTACTCTTGAGCTTTTTTACAGGATGGAACACACACAAGAGCGAGGGGATGTTCAGGTCAGTGAAAAACATGATATTTAGGCCAAATATCCAACAGATTTTCATCCTTCCAAACTCAGATTAGGTCAAATTTGCTGATTTCTGTTCATTCTTTTAATAAAATGGACTGATTTATGTATGAGCATTGGAATCACTATGGTAGAAATATTAATATTAAACCCCAAGAGAAAGAAAAATCAACAGTTTTCTCAAACCGGCTCTTGGTTTTCATCTAGAAGGTCAGGTAAACATGTTCGACTTGGGGCAAAGTGACCTTTCCACAACTCTTCAAAAAGACTGAGCTGTGGCTTGAGGATGGTTGTGTGTCGCCCTCTTGTGGTGAAACTTAACCAATGCAGACGGGCATAATAAGACAACGTTGATATGTTTGAATCAAGAAAAAAACAAAAAAGTCCAGATACCCATGAGTCATTCATTTGTTGACCAGTGTGTTGCTGGCTGAGGGGAAACCGAGACATGACATGATGCCAGTTCTCAAGAAATTCTGTTGTACCATTCAACAGCAGCCCCGAAATTGTGGAACTCTCTTCTTCCTGAATTACTTTTTATTAATGACCTGGCACTCTTTAAAACACATCTTAAAACTCAACTATTTAGACAGGTTTTTTTAATATTTAGTGACATTTGCTATTTTGATCCTTATTGGATTGTTATATATCCAGATGACATTTGTCACTAGTCATGTATTTCCTTTTCCTGTATTTGTGTATTTAACTGTGTATTTGTTATGTAAAGCACTTTGTTCATATTTCTGGATGTTGTAAGGTGCTATATAAATAAGCATTATTATTATAATCCGTATTTTGAAGGAATAACAGCAGGACATAAGTTGGAGTTTGAACCAATCCCTTCCTCTCCCTCACATCATTGTACTACCTTGCATGACTCTTTATTTGGGTTAATTGACTTTCTAGTAAAACATGGTAGTCCAAGAGCATGACCTTTTTAATTAGGGTATTTACTTGTAAATGAGATTATTTACAAAACACACTGTTAGTCCCTGTTTTTTCATGTTAGTGGTTGGAAAGAATAACACAGTCACACCACTCTTTGTACAATATCTGAGTTACATAAAAGACAGAAAAACGTTTTATTTTTTTAAATAAAAATTACTTTATTTTTAAAATAAATGCATTTTTTACAGTCAGAAAACAGAGCAGCAGGACATGCACTGCTACTCCTGACACTGGAGGCAAACAAAAACATCAGAGAAATTAAAAAAAAAAAAAAACAGACTAGGCTTGTTTTTTCTTATCTCAGTTCACTTCTGCGGTCTGCGTCTCAAACTCCAGGGTCTAAAAGTTGTGGCCCCCCCTTTACATGAACAGTATCAAATGGCACACTTCAGTTATGGCAAAAGCCAGACGGTTAAGTGAAATATTTTGATGGGCACAGAGAAAATCAAATTTCCTCAGGTAGCCCACTGAGTATCTCTGTCAGTCTAAAGAAGGAGTTAAAAGCACAAAGCAGAGGCACAAGTGGACATTTGTAATCCTCGAGCTGTAGAGCAGAAGAAGAAGAGAATTCATCAAATGTAGCAGAAAAACCAGCACATTGAAAAAAAAGCATGTCTGTACTTAAAAAAAATAGATGTTCTCCACAAATATCTTAATCTATGTCAAACCTGGAGTTTGAGACTAGTGTTATCTTCATATATATTCATATATATCTTCATCTGAAAACTCAGTAAGACCACAACATAAGCAAGCACAAATTTGAATACTACACATGTTGACAGATGGCTTCCCCCCTCTTTATATGAAAGGAAAAACGTCCGACCCCCCCGAAAGCAGAGACAAAAACTGTACAATTCTATAAAACGTTTGTGTTTTTACATTAGTTACAAAAAATAATACTTCATTTACTGATCCTTCATACTGAGGACAGAAAAAAAAACACATTGCATATTCATTCTTCAGACTTGGTGACCTTTTTTTGCTGGTGTGTAATGATAAAAGTGATAATAATTATAATACTATATGGTGTGAGAAACAGAATGGAAGTAAAGGGAGAGGCAGAAAAAGGGGAGTAACGATCCCTCCTGTTGTTTTGTGTGCATGCGATGAGATGTAGACGGGTTTCAAATCTCTGGATGGAGTTTCAAACATGCTGTCAAGGTCGAATGAGACACTCAGCAGCCGTTAACAGACATGTTAGAGAGGAAACCGACATACTCTTGCACTTCTGAATGTCTACTTTGAGGTCAGAAGATCCGAAAAACCTCTTCTTCTACTTTAAGTTAAATGGACCATCTTAAAGCGTTTGAGTTTTCACAACAGATGGTTCTGTGTTTACGCTGCTGAGACCCACACGACTCTCTCTTTTTCAGAAATGCTTACTATCAGCGTAACTCAGGCTCTCAGCCAATAAAAATTCAATGAGGAGAACTCTGAAAACGCAGACGACAGACATCAAAAAGCGGAAGAAAATAAAAACAACAGCTTATTCAAAAAGAGGACTATATAGTGTCGAAGTGCTTACATGTGACTTCAAAGACAGTTAACCCTTCATGGAGCGGATAGATGGACATGTAGAGCTGTGATCAGCCGACACACACCCTTATGATTAGACTCTTCTATGAAATCTGCTTTAGGATAAATAAGAAGATAAAAGTCTTAGTTTTACATTTAGAAGAAAGGAAAAAAAGAAGGAAAGAAAAAGAGGGAAGAAAGAAGACTCTTTGGGATTAAATGTGTTTGATTGGTTTTAAAGGGCTGCCAGGGACGCTACGTTGATGGCTGTCAGTCCAGGATGAGAGGAGGCAGGTGGTTGTAGGAAAACGGAAAAACTTTCCCCCGTTCGGGTTAATTTTCAGAAGGCTTCTGTTCAGCCCCAGGAGTTAAAGTTTCAAAACCTCATCTGGACTTTTGTCGCCACAATTTTAGTGTTTGTAACGCAAGATTTGTCAGCATTAATGCAAGAAAAAAACAAAAAAAAAATGACGATAGTTAAAACTGTGTCAGCCATGGCAATAGTAGTGCTGTTCTGGGCTCACAGCTCCAAACAATTAAAACACTGAGAGATAATAGAATAAAATAAACCCTAGAAACCCCTCCCACACGGATGCTACTCCTGGGCATTGGCCGATAAGCGTTAACCCCCATGTGGAGCTTTGGGCAGCTCAGACCCAGCCGCTGGTCAGCTTATAGAACATCTCCTCGTCCAGAGACTCGTTCTGGTCCTTGGCGCGTGTGGACAGGAAGATGTATCCACCGATGAACTCGTGGACCACCTTACAGTCCACCTCGGCACAGACGAAAGACAGACTGGGTTCGTCTGCGAACTCCACGGTCACCTGAGCACACAAAGCAAAGCATGTCTGTCATTCTCTGCAAACAAGCTGTCTGTTCGCAGTGGCTGAATTTACTTGTCTAATTTTTTCAGTTTTTTGTTTTATTTGTATTCAATTAAGTTTCTTCACGACTCCAAACTTGTACAGTGTGAGATCTGTCTACACGTTTATATGAGAAATAGGTCATGTTCCTGAACTATTTGTCTCAGCTGATTCTATATCTATCTAGGGTCCCTTACCATCTTGATCTCCCAGTTTACGTTCCACTGTTTCATGTTGCTGAAGCGCCAGGTCTTGATCGCGTCACCAGTGCTAGCGTCCATCCGGATCAAACGGTTGTAGGTGATACCGATCAGCTCTTCCCGCTTTACACCCTGGAACCTGAACAGAAAAGGACGTCATTCACTGTAAATACGTGTTGATCAAACATGAGGATGAAAACAACTGAAAAAGTTACTCATGTGGCTTTGCACCGTGCAATTTTTCACCGATTTGCAAAAAACAGTGTTTTAACCTACTTGGCGAGGAAATGAGTGATGCCAAACTCAGGCAGGGACTGCCACGCCTGGATGAAGCGCATCTTGGCCTCGATGAGACTCATCTGGGCCACATTCTGGTGGGCTTCAAGGATTCTGGCAGAAATCTGACAAAAGCATAACAACACATGATAAATATGCTATAAATAAATCATGCCATGAGCCCACTGGAACCAACCAATACACCCAAAACCACACATCCCCTCCATGTGTATGTAAACTGAGACTAACTTTGCCATCAGCTCTTGCAGTGGCAGCTAAGCTGTCACAGTTTAAGTTTTTAACTTAATAAAACAGGAATCAATAAAATGATCCTTCAAGGCCTCAGAGGACACACAGGCTACAGTTAATGAGCCACAAGAAGCTTTTTTATCACTGTACACATTTCACTTGTTTCATCTGTTTGTCTTTGTCATGCTCGTCTCTTTCACCTTGCACTCTCGAGGTTAAAGGTGGGGTAGGTAGGATTCCATCAAAGAAGCATCTTTTTTTGTGGTGTCTATACAAAAAAGCTTTTAATATCAGTCAGTACTGCTTTGTACTTTCACGTTGACTGGGCCCCATTTGTAATTATCTGAAGTATTTATCTGCATTATATCTGAATTTAATTGAAACAATACGAGTGAGCAGGAGCGTCTGTTTGAGGGCGGGGCTTGCTGGAGGGGAGGAGCTGAGGGGAAAACTGGTTGGGAGGGGTCGAGTTTACATTCAAGATTCCTCCCCAAAACTGGCACTTCCTCAGATCCTGCCTACCCCACCTTTAAGAATCTGTGTGAGCGTCACCAAATGTAAAATATAATTTAAGCAACTTATTGTCCATATTTTGAATAGATTTGTTTATACTTTGAGTTAGTAATAAGCAGATGCATATGAAAATTAAAATCTTATGCGTGGAGGTGCTGCTCACCCTGTGGAGTCTAATCTACATAGTAACCCGTTCACTATACATAAACAACTCCTTATAAATGGGACTAGTGTTAAATGGACTAAAACATGGAAAACTCACTTGTTTTACAGCACATCTCATGGACTAATTTCTTACCAGTAAAGAAAAGTAAAAAGATGATGTAATGATGAGCTGTGTGATTTGCTGGTCATTTCTGACGGACATTAAAACTCACAGGGATTCTACCTTTTCTACTATGACATGTTTACTGTTGGACTACTGTTGGTTAAGGTGGGGAACACAAATAAAATAAAAAAAAAGAGGTGTTTAGAGTTAAGGTAGTCATGCAGGTATCTAAGGTTTAAGAGGCACCCAGTGAACACATACATAACTGGACTTACCAAGTCCCTGATAAAGCTTGGCTGAAGGTGGGAGGAGGGTATGGGACAAGGACACAGAGGAATGAAGGTGGTGCATACAAGAAGAGAAAGAAAGATTGGACAAAGAGAACAAGCAGGTAAGATCAATGTCAAGGGAGGAGAGATTTGATCAAATAAGAGGGATTCAAGTGGAGAGAGGGGCTGCTGGGTCTTAGTCATGCAGATTTCTGGCCACAAGAGGGAGTGAGAGTGCAGCAGCAGCAGCAGCAGCAGCAGCCAGATGCCATCTTATTTAGAGAAAGGAGGAAAGTTAAATCACATTTATGTGGTTTCACATTAAGGAAGCAGGCATAGGAATTAAGGTTTAGGTAATCTGGGTCTGGTTATAAAGGGTTTTCAATTCTAACATATCTTAAAATTCTGTATCAACCTTTCATCCACAAGAGGGCAGTGTGTTCCCAAATACACCTTTTTGAAAGCACCATGTCAGTCAATCTCCAGGGGGTCAGTACAGTGCCCTTCATGTTTGTTTTCTCATATGTTCATGTATAGATTTGCCCACAGACCGACCCACTCTCAATTATCTAAGAATCCTTGTGTGTGTGTGTCCGCTGGGAACTCCAGCACGGAAGTCTCCTCGGGCCGGCCTCGCAACAGGAAGTCCAGTTTGAGGGAGGTGGGGAGGGGTCGAGAGCTGACTGAGAGCAAACGGGCTTTTCCCAGACACTTTTTCCCGCGCAGCATTTCCAGGCACGGCTCATTTCCTCGAGCCCCCCCGCGCCCACTATGGGAGTACTCGTGTGTAAGTGCGCGTACACATACTGTACAGAGGCTACCGCTCTTTCATGATTGTGCCTGGGGATGCTGCTCTCTGTGAGACAATCTGGAAACTTCTGTCTATATAACAGCAGTGATCAGATTACAGTTTCTGCAGCTCAGAGGAAGTTCTGATGAAAACTGTGAGCTGAAGTAGAATTTTATTTTTGCATTAGGGATGTTTCAACTTTCTTGAAATAGAAGCACCGTCAAGAGAAATCCTGATACTCTGAGAAAGAAGCTGAAGAGAACTTCCCAGATTGTACATGAGGGATTTCTTTGTTACTCTTGTTATTGAGAATCTGGGACATTTAAAGGAAGTGTGAACTGAAACTATTATTTTGCAGTTGTGTGTACGCGTCATCACGTACATCCCCGACACTTTAAAACATAACCAGGAATCACAGCCTAGTGGGGGAACTCTCTACCTCCTCTCCTAGACACTCGGTGTATTCCAGGCTTTGGCTCAGACCTCTTCTGAATCATCACTTACTGTACTATACCGACACCCTCCTAACATCCTGTTAACCCGCTGGCAACATTTGATTTTTCTATTGAAACTTAAATAAAACCAGATTGTGTGAGTAAGCGATGGAGAAGCAACCCCCCCTTAAAACTCTGCCACCCAATCACACATCCCGGACTAACACAGCCGTGGCAGCCGTGTGCTCAGCTGTTCCACTCTGCAAACACACGCCTCTTGCTTACATGCAAATCTGCTGTGCACACAGAAGACGACTTTTACCAACACTTGTTAATTCCTCTAAAGTTTAAACTGTTTGAAACAATAAATACTCCATAATTGTTCATCCATCAAATGAAATCTCGTCCCTTTTTTTTGTCTGCAAGCACAGAAGCCACAAAGAGAGAAAGTGCTCAGTACAGTCCGTCAAGAGCGGCTCTACTGTACACATGTGGAGGACTATGGAAGTCTGCTGTCCTGGTTTCCCCTCGGACAGAGAAAGGGGGTGGGAGAAGAAACACTCAGAAGAGGAGGGGAGTGGAGAATGAAGGGGGAGTAGAGGGAGGCTACATTCCAGTGCGAGAGAAGGCTGATGCCAGGAGGCGCCCATCTGGGACGCATCAACTGTTGCTCTGTTTAAGTCCACGTTAGATTTATCAAACAAGTAAAGAGAGAATTATTTAACACACATCAGAGCAGAGGGTCTTCATCCTGCCTCTTCTGCGGGACTTACCTGCTTGTTCTTGTACTTCTTCAGGTATCGTGGGGACACCAGGCACTCCGGGTTGATGTCGGTGGTGATCGGCTCGATGAACTGCGGGTCAGGGTTCATGTGTTGCATCTTGAGGAAGGACAGGATGTTCTGCACCTCCAGGTTGTAAGAGCTGTCGGCCATGGTCTTCCCTTTGGAGGCCAAGCGACAGGCGGCCATCCAGTGGGCGTACTGTTTCTCCTGCGGAAGCGAGAAGCTGATGGGTCAAATCGGCCTCGGGAGACGAGACGCCACTGTGAATGATGTAGTCTGTCCTGTCTTACCGTGTCACACCGGAGCCAGATCTCATTCATGCCATCAGCCACGGGGATTAGCAGCTTGATGTTGAATTTCTGACCCGAGATGTTGACATCTGGAGTTACCTCACAACCTACACATAGGAGGCCAAAGGTCACATCTATTCTGTCATCTGCCTACTTACAGTTTCATTTTTGCAATGGCATAAAATGAGGAGTTTTCACCTCTGAGATTCATTTGGTGAGCGGGCGTCCCGTGTGATTCCTCTTTACTCTTGTAACATGAAATTGTGATGTCCTTGAATGTACACCAGTACTGCTTATAGCCCTTCAGTGTCAATTTCTTGGGTCTGGAAAATATAAAACGCAGAAAAAGAGACGGAGAGAGATGTCAGAGCGTATAAGGAGAAAGAAAAAAAAACATATTCTGTATTCGTGGTTAAGAGGAGGAGCGGAGGGGGAGAGGGGACAAGTTTCTCCAGTGCAAAGTGAGCAGGGTGGGGAGGAAAGAGGCCAGCACTGGAGGTGGACATTAACGGGAAATCATTCCTCTGGTTTGAACATTTTATGAGACAATCACTCCAGGGGGGCCGCCTACCTGTCAGCAAAGGCATGAAGCCAAAAGCGAAAAAAAAATCAAAATATGTTTCATCCAACTGCAATCACTCCAAAGACATTCTCACTGAGATTTTAGCCTGTCACACCGATGCAAACGCAGAGTTCTGCACACACTCAGAGACAGCGGTTCGACATGTGCATGTGGCCTTACTTGAAGACTTTGACGTAGTCCGCTAGCTCTGGAATAGATGTGATGTCACCCTGCGGGAAAAGGGAGGGAAAAAAAACTCACTGTTAGTCTAAACCTGGAGGATTTTTATTGAAAGTAATAACAGGACAATGACCTCAGGTTCAACTTTGTACACTTTCAGTATCATTATTCAATAGAGCGTGCTAAAAACAACACTTCTTATGTAATCCTGTTTCCCCTGATAAGCTGAATAAACTTCACAAGTTCATATACTGGGGCTGCTGTGCTGTAAAGATGGATAACAACTATGCAACATGTAGGGCTTATTGTATTTGTTGGATATCTCACACTTTCTCTCTCGAGAGCCTCTCATATGTGTGAAATCATGACTATAACTTAGATGAACATCCCATGGTGGATGTAACACTGTTGCTGTGTGATCGTACCAGTGTGTTAGACGTCTTCCCCCCCTCCAGAGTGATCTCCAGGTCTGACAGGGCCGCATCCACCTCATCCACCTCCTTCTCACTGTTGTTCATATGGTTGTCCGAAGACATGATTGACAGCTTGTTGATGTGGTACTGGGGGGGAAACAGAGACAAACACCCAGTTAGGCTCCAATTTGTTTTATTCATTGGCGTTATTATGCAGCACATGAGACCAAGACAGATTTCCACATGGGGACACTGCGGGATATGGTACGTGGATGTATCTATTTTTTATTTTTTTTTTTTTTTTCCTATTTTATTTGTCTTGAACAAAAAAAAAAAAAACACCAATACATCAGCAACAATAATAAAACACAACCATAATTGTTCAAGAAGGGACAGGAAGAAGCAAATGCTTATCTTGTCCGGCCCCCTTCTTACCATGTCATATAACTACGTTGTGATGATAATAACAGTAATAACAATACATATACAAATACAAATATATATATATATACAAATCATGTCAATAAAAAGTATCCAGGAGCTGTTTTGGAGCAGTGTTTATGATTCTAAGGATGAGACTTGACTCTCCCTGTACTGTTTAATCCTCAAAGATTATTTCTACTCCGTAGATTTGTTAAAGCCTTCTTTGACTAAAACAGCAGATCCATAGGACAGACTTCAGCAGCAGAAGAGGGAGTTGGTTTCCTGTTCAAACACCTTCATCAACAGTTTTTCTGTCAAGTCTTCCTGCCATGTTTGCTACTGGTGCCACACTGCTCCCACTTTTGCCTGTAAACCTAAATCCGTCTGTGATAATTAGCATGTAAATGTTTTCAGATGTGTTGGTATTTCTACACACAGGTGCTGCTAGTGTGCATGTTTGCGATTAGCCGTGAGGAAAACAAGGACTTTTATCTTTGCGGGAGACGAGAGATGAGGAAACCATCTCTCGGCGGTGATGATTCACCGAGAACAATAAGTGGTGCGGTTTGCACATGTTCCCCGGTACACTTTGAACCATACAGGCAATGAAAATATGTTTTACAAGAAACATGTGCGAGACAGGACCAATGAGAGAGTGTGTGTTGTTTTTACGCTGGAAACAACCATTAACCAGGATGGGGCCGTCGCTGAAAAACTGACAGTGTTTCCCTTGTGGTGTGAGGCACAGACACTAAATACAACTTGTTGACAAATGGTATTTGTAATGTCAACCCATCCTCAACCCCCCCCACCACCACCAATATATGAATGAACAGCTGTCGAGAGAGTGAGAGGTACAGAGGCAAGAGTTTGAAAGAGATATGGGAGGTTTGAGCCAGCTGAGGTTACAGAAAGTAGGACAAAGGGCTTAAAATGACACTCCATTCCTCCTCCTCCTCCTCCTCCTCTTCAACTCCACGAGTCTGTTTTAAAAACTGCAACTTGGAGGGGGGGGGTGCTTCCTGTTTGTGTGTCGTGTCCAAGAGCACAGTGTTTATCTGCTGTGGTAGAAAGTACAACTTGTCCTCTGTGTTGCAGATACTATAGCTCAGTCACTGACATCCAGGTGGTATCATGCTGAAACCAGACATGCTGGATGTGTACGATCATTGCTCTCTATTTAGATTTACTGTATCTGCCCTGAGCTCATACTACACGGCTGACACGTAGTAGTAGCTGCCAAAGTGCCAACAGACAGGTAGTGACAGAATAGCGCCCGGTCTAAACACCCAACTTGGATTAGCATGTCTCTCGGGAAGAGTAACGAGAAACCAGTTAAGAGTAATTATAACCGGTCTGATGGGACGCACCAAACACCTCAGAGTGTAAGAGAGGAATGTGAGCAGGTCCACCATGATGATGATGATGACGATGACAGTGTCTTTTTGGGGTTGGGTGGTCCGAGCAGAGGTACCGAGCCCTCTGGCCTAAGAAGCTCTATAATTACTCCTGGAGTGAGGACAGGGTGGCGTCCTCAGGTCTTGGCACCCTCGGTTTATGAGGGTCAGAAATAGCAGGGGCAGCACTTTCAGACCACTGGGGGCGACCTGAGGAGACTAAAGGGGTTTACATCTGTATATCACCTCCTCTTGACCTCTTGATCTTCCACTTAACTTGTAATATTATTCAAAATAAGAATTACAGCCTAATCTGGTATCAATCATGATCATGAATATCTTTGTTTCAACAGACCCACAAGATGAGATTCAATTCAAGTCTTGACCCTACTTTTAGTTGGGGCTCATTTTCATCGTTTCTAGGCAACCAAAGTGACATTTGCCCCATTTCGTGGGACAGACTTAAGTGCATTTTAATCAATACTCTCAGGCTAATTAAGATTCATATTTGTAAGAGGATTTTTTTTTTATTGACGACGAGTCAAAATACCGAGAACTAAAAGAGATTGAAGCCTATTGAGATGCCTGGAGGGAATATATGAGTGATAATGCCCCCATTAACTTTAGTTGCATCAGTGTAGAACAGCTAGGTTTTAGTATGCATGCTGCAGCAGAACTGGCAGACATATGGCTGGAAGCCCATCCAATTCATTAGCCTGCAGTCTCGAAGGCAATGAACCCACTGCCCAACGAAAAAAGAGGACTGCAGATCTTCCAACTGTAACCCGGCAAAACAATGCTGAACCGGGAGAAATTGAGACCAGACGCATAAAAACACACACTCGTACGCACAAACACACTGTCTCTGTACCTGCAGGGCAGCAAACATCATCATTTCCTCTTCTGTGCACTCAATTTCCTCCAGCAGGATGGCCCACTTGGCCTGTTCGTAGAGCTGGTTCACTCGGATAGCATCGTACTGCGGAGAGGTTTGGAAGAGAGGTTAAGATGCGAGCGGACTCTCACGCTCTGATACACCGAGGACACAACAAGATTCGGGTCGTGCTCTGGGTGTATTCTGTTTACAGCATGTTATGACTGTAGTATACGGACTTCTTTAGGGATCACTGCACCGACGTCACTGCACATCTATAAAATGGTTGGTCAGTTTAGACTTTACAGGGATAACTTCTCTCTGGCACTGATGCAGATTAAATCATTGCGACTTTACAGTGAGAGTGTACTACATTATCAGTGGGATGTACCTTCGGGTTGAGGTCAAAGAAACTGTGGTATTTGAACCTCAGCAGCAGCACCTCGTTCTCCTTTACATCCTGCTCCATCAGAGACCTGGAGGAGTCCAACCACCTTTGTGGAGAGAGAAAATAACATCCCATTAAACAATCTCTCTAACACACGTTTTAAATAAATAAACTTGGCATTTCTAAATATGAGCCAGGGCTGCAAGTTCTTATCATACCAATGCTTTGATGCTATTTGATGCTACTGGATGCTATATTTGAAGCCTAAATAACTGTGATAAGGATTGATCGGTTATAGTCCTGCAGCCCTATCATGAGCAGTTTTGAACAAATACTTAAAGTCAGTCTCACCCCTGGTTGATTTTTGCTTTGTCCAGCAGAGACTGGGGCTTGTAGAGTTTCACCAGGATGTCAGGTGAGGAGATCGGCTGGCTGACGGCGAGAATGCCGGGGTTTCCCTCGGAAAGAGGGCTGTCCCCGAACCAGGCAGAGGTGGGCGACAGCGGGCTGCCGTCTCTGGAGTCATAGGTGGGTGTCATTGTTTTGCTGTATAATCCTGGGCTGGAGTAGATGCTCCCTGAAAACACACGATCATGAGTTAGTCCCTGTTACTAAACTAAAATCAAGAAAAAATTTCTCACTCTCATTAAAGGAATATTTCAAACGTTTTATGTTGCATGGTTACTGCCTCACTCTGACACTTCAAAGCAAAGAAATGCACATTCACGATGACTTGACATCAACAAAAACAGTGTTCACTTCTTTAAAAAAAGCACACACACACACACACACATTTGCAGCCTAGCCGGGCCAGCTAGCGGTCAACAACACCATGTGACTACCAGCTCGCGCTTTGCAGATGAGTGGCTTCAACAATGTACTCCTGCTCTGGGTGGGATTGATGTGGATCAGCATGCAGATGTTGCAGAACATGATCAGGGGGTCACCAGCTTACTCACAGTCAAAAAACCTGCAGGAATGCACCGCACACAGCAAACTACTGCACAAGTTGCAGCACAGAGGGGAGGGGGAGGGCAATGATTTCGAGAGGTTATACTTCAATTCATTACAAAAAGCATAACTGGTTTGGAAAAAAACAATATATTTTTAATCAATCTAATTTTTGCATACAAAAATAAGCTAGAAACAAAACTGAATCTGTTTGACTTCCTGTTGGCAAGCCTTGTGGGAGTATTTTTGGCCCTTTACCCCCTCCCCATTCCCTCTCTCCCTCTGCAGGACGCAGGTCAAGAAGCAACACTAGCTAAACCACTAAATCCCCTCCGAAATCAGGAAGTAGGCTTGGTTTGTGTTTGCGAGTGTGCGCGTGTGTATTTGTGTTTGCAAGCTGAGGTCATGAGAACAGGGTGCAGGCTATGGCCACCCATCCCTTTTGTGGGGGAGGGTGTTTTTCAGCGGTTCTTTCAAGGTTCTTCCCCAAATGCTGAGTTCATCAGGTCAGGAAGAGTACTCCCATCTCCCATAGGGTCTTCTGAGGAATCCCAAATATCCACGGAGACTGTGTAGAAGGTGGAAGCTGGCAGCCCATTAAAAACACAACTAGGCCTCCTCCATCCTGTTTACCGACTCTCAAATCGAGGCTTAAAGAATGTTAACATGACTTGACTCCTTAATGCTCCCACACACTGGGGATTCTTCAAGGCTTAGATGGATGGAGCTGGACCACCGTGGACTGTTGGGACCAGGAGTAAACCACCAAAGGGCTGTCGATAAATGAAAGTGTCACTAGAAGATTGGAATTATCAAAATGAATCCTCATGAGTGGGCGTTTTGTTGTGGTGTGTATTAAGGTCTGACCGATATGGATTTTTTGGGGCCGATACGATTATTAGGGGGGAAAAAAATCCGATTACAGATTAATCGGCCGATTTTTAAATTTTTTTTTATGAAGTTATAAAAATTAAATTATATATATATATATATATATATATATATATATATATATATATATATATATATATATATATATATATATATATATACATACATATATATATATATATATATATATATATATATATATATATATATATATATATATATATATATATATATATATATATATATACGGTAGATATCTAGATAAGCTGCCTCAGTAAGAGAAGTAGCTCGATCACGTAATAAGTACTGTAGTTTATTCTACCGTTACTAGCACGGCTAACAGTGTAGCAAGGCTAATAGCAGATGGCTAACTCTAACTTTAGTTTGCATATTACATGGTGCTTCACCGTTAACTCGGTGTGACCGAGACCAGCACAGTGGGGAACATGGTGAAGTGGGTTGAAGTGAAACTTGTTGATTTATTGTGTATTTCACAAACTGGTTTATTTATCGTTGAGGCGGACCACTGTCCTCTGTGTGTCCCTGAGCTGAGGTAGTTAGTGGATGAAGTTTGTCATGAGGTCGCTGCGCCATCTACAGGATAAGTCGGGGAACTTTTCAAATGGCAGAACATTTTCGAAGTAAAACCGATTCTTATTCTCTGCATTTTACTCCTGAAAATATCGGCCAAAAATGGTGAGTTTTGGCCGATTACTGATTAGTGTCAAACAGGCTAAAATTGGCCGATTTAATCGTCTTGCTGATAAATCGGTCAGGCCCTCGTGTGTATGTACCGTTATAGAGCGAAACAATATCACTGCTCTGATTCCTTGAGTTTTTTTAAAAAGTGAAAGCACAAAAGTTCCAACAACACTTCATGACCACCTCAGAAACTTTCACTTTCAGCGTCTAAGACTTCTTTAGCAAGCACAGTGAGCAGGCCTGGAGTAGCTCTGAGAAAACGTGAGCTAATCTCTAATGAGAGGCAAAGCTTTGGTCATGTGACTCCCCTCCTGAATCACCTGACTTCCTCTGGACGAGCAGTCAGGTGACCTGCTGCTCGTCCCAAAGGTTACACGTCATGTGACCTTAACACTCCAGCTGCTGCGGTTGAAGGAGGTGGAGGGTAGGAAGGAAGGGGGGAGTCGAGGGTGAGGAAGCAGTGCAGAAGGGTAAAGAACAGAGGAGGAAGGAAAGCTTACCTTTGACAGGTCCGATGTATATTATCTCAGAGGCTGGGATGAAAAGAGAACAAGTGAGAAAAAGAGAGGGAGACAGGAAAGAGGAGGAAGGAAGAAGTGAAACGGGGGACAAACAATGTGAGATAGACAGATTTAAGATACAGAGAAATGTATGCGAGGACAGGAGGAAACAAAGAGGAAACAAAAGTCAAGAAATGGTACTTTGGTGGCCTTTCCAGGGACACTGCCAACATCCAGCCTCAGACTGAATGACTCAGTTTACCCTCTTCACAGATCACCGTGGGTTTAAGTCGTCTCTATCCACCCATTCACAGCAATACAACACAGCATGACTGATTGAAAACACAGACGAGGCGTTGGTCAGCGTGACCCAGCCCCGCATGTACACACAGCAGCACACATAGAAAGTAGCGGCTGTCTGAAGGATGTCATTCTCCACGCTGACAGAAAGGATAATTAGACGCAACAGGGACCGTGGAGATGTGGTGGACCCTGAGGGATGGGATGGACTGGCATCGAGGCCAAGATTGAGGTTCCCGGTCTGAGTCATGACAACAGACGAGGATTAGCAGCATGGTTTTTATAAGGAAATTACCGATCAGGATGGGCACTTGACATGAGCGTGCAGACAGACACGATACACACAGTTTCCTCAACGGTCAATTTAAAGGGAGGGCTTGAGGTTTTGGAAGGACTGACGGTCTTTAAGTAGAAATAATTGGTCATGAAATACTTATAGTCTTAGTGTTCATCATCCAGGGTCATTTGATCCTGAAGTCATCATGACAACTACAAAGTCCCTGTGCTATTTGTACCGTGCTGCTATATTTGGACAATGTGAAAAGACATTGTAGTGACTAAGAACCATCATCACAGGCCTAATGATACAATTTTTCCCCATCTTTTGATGAGTTCAGTCTTTAAACGATCAGAAAACTCCTAAATTCCCCTAAAGTTCTTAAAGTTTAAGGGAATTTTTAAAAAAATTGCTTGATTTGTTTAACCAAAAGTAGGATATTTACTGTAATATTGACAAAGACACATCAAATCTGATGACGTTCAGATCTTAGAAGTTTTATTCCATGTGACTTTGCAATTTCTTGCTTTAAAAATCAATGAATGACCAAAGGAATTAAGTAAGTTTCTTGTTTATGTTCTTTTGATGTTCTTTATGTCCTTCAATCTGTGAAATCTGAGTCGTAGCTAACTCTCCTGCAGCTCATCTCCAAGTTGGTGTTTACTCTGCAGAAGCAGCTGGCTGCAGGGGAGAAGGCGGTTTTTCCGACTACATCTTCGCAACATCTCGTGGTTCCTCTCAGGGGGCCTGAGCATAGCGGTCCGCCCTTCTCAAAGGGACAGAATAAGAGGCGGTGAAAACGCTCTGACTGTGGCGTGTGATCTAATAGGGAGGACACAGGAAGCAAGTGTGTATGGGTGTGTATTTGCGCTCCGTTACACACACACAGGGAGAGAGTGGTGACTGTAAACAGATTCTGCACATTCCTATTTAAACAGTGTGTAGCTGATGCACTCATCGGATATAATGACGCAACTCTGGGTGTGATCGCCACACTCACAAAAAATGGAAAGTTGCCACATTTTGTATAGATACAAGTACATCATGTTCATATTTATATCTCACATGGGAGTGTGTGTGTGTGTGTGTGTGTTGAGATGAGTCTGAGGAGCCAGGGGACACAGCAGAGGCCAGGAGAGGAGAGACTCCGAGCGCACAAAGAGCCTCATTCACCCTGTCTCACACTGTTAGCACTTTTGCTTCATGCTAACTCTTGTGACAGCAGCGCAGCCTGTTTCGTTCTGCTCCTCCCTGCTCACATGGTTGTAACTCTCCCATCACTGACAGCAGGAGGGAGGAGGAGAAAAGAGAAGAAGGAGGGAGGAAGAGGAGGAGGAGGAGGGCCGGTATAACTGCAGTCGTGTAGCCTGGTTTGGGTTTAAAATGGCAGCGTGACCAACTATGTGTGGAATCTCAAGCATTCGTCGTCCACCCTGCCAAGGAGCTGGGAGCAGAGGCTGTAGATCTAACGCAGGCCTCATATCCACACACTCATATTTGGTCACTAGAAGCAGGGTGCAGTAATGTGGACTTTTCTGAGTGGTTTTGAGAAGAATGGAAGATGCTCTGGTGAAACCTGCTATTCAACCTGTTGCTTGGGGGACACCAGATGTTAACTTTTCACAATAAGATGCAAAAATAGAACCCGAGACGCCACAATTACCTCAGAGTAGACACGCCAGTTCTCCTCAAACTCAGTTAAAAATCTGCAGTGCGCTATTCAAACTCCCTGCCAGTGTTTTTTTTTCCTCTCTGCGGCTGAAGGCCAGGGTTTTTATTTTAGATCCACATGAAATAGTCCCCTCCATCAGCTCACCTGATCCAGGGGTTAACAGCGGACCCTCCAGCTCCAGATCATCCTCCTCTGCCTCCTCCAGCTTTTTCTTCTTCTTCTTGGGATCACGGGGCTTACGCAGTAGAGAGAGCTCCTCTGGGTGGCGGATATCTGGATGGAAAGAGAGGTAAAGTTCATGTGATGCCATATAAACATAACCTTGCCTCACACAAGTAGCTCGGTCACTAAAAACAGAAAGTAATTTGTGTTGTTTCAACTACAGGCTTCGAATAAACCGCATAACCTCTCGCTAAGCACACAGACAATGTGCAGAACCTTTAATATGAGTGTAAACAAAAAAAGTAGGACAAAAAAGGAAAAACAAAGGCTGAGGAGATGGGTAAGGATGGTGGACAGCTGTGTGCATGAGGGGTGGAAAATTGCAAATCCCTTTTCTCAGGGCCCCAACAAATCTTGCTTTAACTGTAATCCCTGACTGAGACGGGGCAGACACAACCTCATCTCCCTCCTACCCTCCTCACTGACTTCTCCTCTCATATCTCATACACAATATTTAAGTCATAGATTTTAAAAAATAAGGGGAAAAAAAACACCAGAAATGTGATCTGAAATTGGAAAAATGGGGAAAAAGGGACCCCGACTGTGTTTGAGCAAGTTCCCTATCAGACAGAAAGACACCACACAGAGCTGATGTCTAAAACAGATCAGCCTCTCTCTCTCTCTCTCTCTCTCTCTCTCTTCTTCCTCCCTCCTCCCCTTAAGGCTTGGAGGCCAGGGATCCATCACTCAGCAGCAGCAGCAGCAGCAGCAGTGATGTTTCAAGATGAGCTCAGGATGGATCTGACGCAGCAGCGAGACAGGATGAGAAAAGAGTACACAAGTCGAAACGCACACATCTGGATCATTGGCTTTCTTTTCAAAACTCCCCGTCAACTTTGAAATGAGATGTAACGGAGAGCCTAATTTATCTCGCCCATTTTGCTGATAAAGCGTTCAGTTTTTATACGTGATATTCATCTCTCCTAACATATAGATGAAAGATTTGGAAGGTGTTTCAGGCTGATTGAAGAGGTTCCTGAGGGTGTTGAGGAGAGCCCGGGTAGAAAAGGGGGGGAGGGAGAAGGTTTTTTGGCCTGGTGAGAAAGCTTGTTTGGTTTGTGTAACTAAAGCAAAAGCATTCCAGGAGTTTTAAGAACTACCAGATGGGAGCTCACCCTCCTCTTTCGTTCTCGCTCTGCTGCAGCGATGAAGCACAATCCCTGTGCCCTTATACAGCCATGTGAGTTGCAGGCGTGCTGCCGAGCTTTAGCCCCGGTGAGCTGTGCAGGGAGGCCAACACACACATACACAGGAGGTGTGTTTTAAACTGTGTGTGCTTTGGATAGGACTGTGTGTACTGGTGAGGCATTGCTGCGGCATGTGCTTTACTATGGGGTCATTTTTTAGTCTTCTATTCTTACAGTCTCATCATCACCATAGCCGACATCTGCCAGAGAAGAGTGACTCACATACATCTAAATATCTGCTATGACTAACCATCATCAGTTCTTACATAACTTCTTGGCAAAATATTGTGATTGCATGATTTGTTCTCATAACTGCCAAAATAAAGCTTGATTTAAAATCTGCAGGTATGCCGATCCATGCACCCTCATTTATACTCATTTGTACAAAAAGCTAGTTGTGTTGTAACAGCTGATGCAACTATACAAAAGGTTTGTTTGTGAGGTCAGTTATTAGGGGTGGGAATCACTGGCGGCCCCATGATACGATATTATCACGATACTTGGGCCGCGATACGATACTATTGCGATTTTTAACATTTTGCAATACAGTGAGTTAAGACTGGGCGATAAAACGATAACAATATTGAAAATAAATTTCCCTCAATATCAATTTAAAACATGGTTAATATTCTTTTTGATAGTCGGAGAGAGCACGTGCAATGCAAAAGATAACAAACTCCGAGCAGAGCAAAGAGCCCATGGCACCTGTGCAGCTGAAACAGCTGACCATTCAGTCCGCTTTCTCTAGCGCAACGCCTTACAACAAAATGTTGAAGAGACACAAAGACCTCACAGATGCAGCAGCTTATTGTATTGCAAAAGACATGCTACCAATAAGCACTGTTAAATTTCATTTTTTATATGGTGATATATATTGATATTGACTGATATGAAAAAAAAATATTGTGATAAACTTTTTCCATTATCGCCCAGCCCTACAGTGAGTACTGTGATGCAATATACTGCCATTTATATCATTTTTCCAACTGTTCAGCTAATTTAACATTTGTAATTCTTATGTTTGTCTTATTTATGCTGTATTTTATTTTATTTCCATGTAGCACATCTTGCAAACCTTATATATTTGTTGCACTAACTTTCTCCTGCTCTATGATGTCACCCCTGCCAACCTCACTGGACAAACTGTTGATTTTATTTTTCCATTATCATAGATCTGACTTCATATTAGTGATTAATTTGAAAAATCGATACTTGGTAAATGAGACGATACCATATATCACCAGACAAAATATCGCAATACCATGCTATTATTGATTTTTTTCTCCCACCCCTATCAGTTACCATGAAAATTATTTATTCCAAAAGAAAATGATGGAATGAAACAGCTCAGGTTGTTTCTTGATAGCTACTCCGTCATCAGGCCAGTAAAAGGTTGAGCCTCTGAATAAAAAGTCTAAAGTTTTTAGTCAATTGAAGTCAGTGTGTGAGTCCGATGTGTTGTAAGACTATCTTTTTCAATATAATAGCTTTGAAACCAGAAATATCAGACGATTAAATGGTGTCAATGTCAAATTGGTGATCTCTGGGAATGTGCGCATTTCGTTGGCTAAAGTATTTAATGTGTCATCTTTGCTAGTTGGTAACAGAAATGTTCTTTAATGACTTTAGGCCTGAAATCCCACCAATATGTCATGTTTAAGCTCTAGCTACTGATTTCAAACATGCCGCATAAATTATTTTTACTACTTGGATGTAAACAAGTTCACATGACAGATGCTTGGCAGTGTCTTGATCTTGAGAATGGGGGTGAAGTTGTATCTAGGCTGTTATGTTAGCTATAACCAGCTGAAACAATGCAGCTTATGGGTGTTAACTCTGCAAAAACATGATACCGTTTGCCTGCAGACTCTGGGAACTCTCCTATTTTAGCTGTGTTAAATAAATTGTGCTCAGTTTTTAACCTTTAGACTAGTCAGACAGAATTTCCATTTACATTCAAACAACTGCAAAATCAGATGCTTTTGAATACCCCTTAGCTTGTATGGAAGTTCAGGAATAGTTGGTAAAATAAAAAGCCAAAATTGGAGAAAAGTACAACACAAAAGCTCTAGTAAAAGGCGATTTTAGGTACTACTTGTAAACGGTTACGCCCAAGTATCTGGAAACTGTCAAGGATATTAGGTGGGAGAGGTAAATAATAAATGAATAGACCTGCATTTTTCAACACTCCAATGTAGGGAGGAGAAGTGTGGTTAACATGATGGAGACCCCATGTCTGCTGAGCTTTGAATACTTAAAAATACGAAGATAAAAATGACAAAATCTGCCTAAAATGGGAAAATACAGGCCGGCGCTGCAGTCGATTTCTGCTGACTTAGTCATTTGAGTGTTGAATTGTATGTTTATAGTGAGAATTTAAGGATCCTGCTCTGGTGGGAAAGCCTGCTCCTACGCTCACCACATATTTGTGGCGGCTGTCAGAAGAAGGAGGAGGAGAAGAAGAAGAAGGAGGAGGAGGAGGAGGAAAAAGCGTGAGTGATGGTTGATTAACAGAGAAGTTTGGTTGATTTCCATTGGCAGAAATGACACCTCAGACAATACAACTCCAGTCTTCCACCCTGCGGACTTGTGGCAGTAACCGGGCCTGAGGCCAGAGGGAGAGGGGGTTGACCGAGAGCCAGCTAGGCTTGCAAGATCGCCTCCTTGGAATACATGATTCACTGCAGTGAGTAAGGCCAGCCGCAGAAGAATCACAAACACCGTCAGAGTCTAATTTTACAGCGCTGAAGTTTACCATACAAACAGTTTAAGACCCTAAATGGACAAAAGAATTAAAGACGAGTGATTCCACACTCTCTTCCCCCCCCGCGTAATTCTCAGTGTTGGGCTGCTTGGCTGATTGATCAATACTCCAGAGCAATAAATCAAGGTTTTCTTCCTGGAAAGACTGAATAAAACCAGGAGTAAATTACTCACATGCTTGGTTTGGAAACTCCACATATTGTGAGTAATTTACATTGTTAGAATTTATGTGATGACAAGAAGAGTTGAGGTAAAATTTGGCAATTATAGCGAGATGGAATAGAGCACTTGTTAAATTTTTGCTCTAATTTTTTCGAGATGAAAAGCTGACCTCAGCGGTTTGATTAGAGAGTGTCACTGGTTCTCCTCAGCCATCAAATTGGAGAATTAAAAAGGTGCTAAAAGCCAACTCAGGAGGATGATAATGCACTTTAATATATGACTCTGGGGTTAGGTCACACTGCACTCCTCCTTTGTTATGACAACAGGGACTGCAGACTCGGACTAGTCGACCAGACCGCAGGTTAGTGGGCGGTAAATCCGCTAGACCAGAACGATGAAGCAACAGCTCCACGCGAATCTAAAAAGGTTCTTGAGGACAAAGCACTGGACCAAACACTCCACTGCATTAACAGCCGACGTGGAGGTCTTCTGCATGCTCATCCTGCGGTTTCCACACGCATCCTCCAACTCAACCTTTCCCCTTCCTGCCCATCCATTTCATCCGACTCACACTGAATCTCTCAAACCAGTGCTGACAATCGCAACAAGTTACCACAAATGTTGCTGCCTCTTGTGTTTTCCAGAGAATTCTTCTAGTGTGTCAGCTTTCTCACACATGGCGTAAAGAAAAAAAAACCCCCACCGTGCTTAAGTGGAGCGGCCTGACTCTTGTTACGGCGAAGTGGAGCTTTGCTGAGAGAAGCAGTCTAATTTTTGTACCACCTCAGGCTTCCAGGTCTACAGTCATGTGTTAGTCAGTTGTGAGGAGTACATTTTGTCCGCTGGCTTAGACAGCCTCCTGTCAGAGGAAAGAGGAGGAGGAGGAGGTGTATGCGTGTCTGAGAGCGTGTGTGTTTAATGTGTTGGAAGTAAAGCCAGATTGTCTAGACGGGACACGCTTGTGTTTGAGTGTGACTCTTGACTGAGCAAATTAACCTTTAAAGAAGTCAGGGGGGAACGTTGTCGGTTCTTCTATGGTGCAGACCAAACTTTATCGAAGAGCTGCGGTGATTTATCAGCTCATTGGTTGTCGGATTAGATGTTTACACCTCAAACAGTTTTGATCATCAGTATGTGAATATATATATGAATATGGATTAGATTATACTCATCATGCAAGTGTAGCAAACAAACCATTTCTGATCACGTATTTCAAACCAAGTGTTGCCAAAGCTAATCAGCGCTGAGATTTCCCAACTTCCTGGAAAGCATCATGTCTGACCTGACCTCTGTTCAACATGCGTTTCAAAGCCGATTTCTCCTCCTCTAAAAGGACAAACCTGACTTATATTTAACTCTTTACTTATTTTAATCATGATGTTGATAATTCCACGAGCTCAAACTTGTAAACTGTTTTTAAATTCATCCCACTGAATCAAGCTGAAGTAGAGCGTATGTATGTGTCTACTGTTGAACTCTGACCGGCTGGTACTTCAAACAGATGAATGAGCGCCATGCTGGGGGATGTAATGGTCCAAGAAATAACAGAGTTTACATTGCAGACATTCATGCGGCATAAAAAATAGAAAGTCTTGGCTTATAGTCATTTTTGTAACTGCTGGCTACACTGGCGTTATGAAAAAGACGGCATCCATTCCCAAGGGCGATCGCCTTTCATCAGAAGTTAACAGATGATGATATCGACGAGATGCTAAAACTTTTTTAACATTAAAAGTACTCCTTCTAATATTAATCAATGAGGAAAAATAAGAAAAAGACTATTTATCACAGCCTATTTGCATTGACAGTTTCCAAATCTTCCTTCAGCTGTCGGAATTTTGATTCTGAGAATTCTCAAAATGGTCAACAAGGTTCACGAATGTTATCTTGCGACTAAAAATGGAAAATCTCTCCGCTTTGATACAGAGCGAGCCCGACAGTGCAGGAAGTACGAGCTGCCAAATGGAACCAGAGGTCGAAACATGAGTGATTTCCATGTAAGAGGGTACATCAACTTTTAGCTGAGTCCTCGCCATTCCCAGACGGACCAGGTGGACGGTGTCTGTGTCAGGACACAGCTGTCATGGACATGGGAGGAATACAGCTGTGATAATTCATTTTATACTCATAACATTGAGTGTTATGCTGATTTTCTATGCTTTTCCACTATAAGGGACACTTACTGTGAGAGTTTCAGACTAGGAAGAAGGTTAAAGACGGGAATACACTGCAAGTTCAAGTAAATATTAAAAGACACGATGTTGAAAGCATGGCCTCATTTTTCTACGTGATAAGACAAATAAACTGCAGAGAGGGTGAGGTTAAAACTCCCTAATGCTTCACTAGAGGGCTGAATTGGGAACTTGTTTTGGAGCAGGAAATAGCTTCTGTGAAACCAATTGACCGGACACGCCAGAGCAAAAATACCCTCCAAACAAGTTAAGAAAAAAAAAGGAAAGAAAAGAACGGGAGCCACTGGTGATCTGTTCATTACAGGAAACAAAAAAATCACTGATTTCCACTATCAATCTTCCAGTATCTCTGTCCCACCCTGTCTGCTGTCCAGAGCTCAGGCCAGCTGGACAAGCCTCTCTGTCTGTCACAGGGATCCAGAATAAAACAAGCACATCAAACTGTAAAACCCGCCCCTGATATTTAAGATAAAACTGCCTCCAAACCTAATCACTGTAAAAAGAAAATAGCTTTCCAATCTTTCCTGTTGTGAATTAGAGCGCATCATACTGAGGAGTCTGTTCGAGCTACTGTGCTACATCTCACAATATCCTTGCAGAGGCAATGTCAGCCAAAAGCAATTTGTCCTGAATTTGTCTGAAGAGAAAACAGATTTATTACAGAGAGGCAGCAGACACATTCCTAACAAGGCTGAGAGGAAAACTACAGCCCTGCTCCTCCACGTCTCCTGCCTGAGCTTTAAAAAACAGCATCTTAATATATTTACCTCAACAAAATGTGCTTTTTGTTACGCTGATTCGCTATGCTGCAAAACTCAAAAGAGGTGGACTGTTTCCAGAGGTCGATAAAATCATTAGAGCTACTGCTGGAGCTCTTGATCCGCCCTGCTAAACGCACAGTCCATTAAAAATGACACAACAGGTGTGCTATGAGACCGTCTTATGGATGGGACTTATATTTGTCAAGGCCCCTGCAAAACCTGCAAACCCCACAGGAGACAGTGACTGAGAGGCGGGGGGGGCAAAGGGCAAGGTCTGAGGCGAGGAAAAGTGGGCGTTAGCAGGTCAGAGGCCACAGGGGTCCACTCTGTGACCTCTTGGTGGACATGGTGGTGCCACTGGTGGAAGATATTGATAGTGTGTCTGTGTCACACCGTGGGGGACTGTTACATTCAGATTACTGGAAGATTCTGGTGCGAGCCAGATTGATAATCCCTGTTTACTAAACATTCCTGTGAAACCAATGGAGCCCAGGTTTCAAGGACACAACTTAGAACAGAAGAGGAGACGTGCAGAGCTCAGTGTATGTTTGATAAACACAACAAATTACCAGGGATCAAAACAAAGTGAGAGGGAGTACATGATTCACTGACTTTGATGGAGAACATTTCAGTAATAAATCCAGAAAAAGCCTTTAAAGGAATATTGTAAACTCTGATTCCTTGTACTGAAATTTTTTGCCAATCTGTCACACTTTATCTCCTGTTTTCTCGCCAACGCTGCTAATCGAGCGAATGAATCACTCCACTTACTGAAAGTTTTGCAGATGTCAGACACGGCCTTGAAGACGCGGTCTGAGAAGTTAACTTTGACCTTCATGTGCTTCATGTTGGGCAGCTGGAGGCGCAGGAGCTTGTGCTGGGGAGTGAAAAGCAGCCTGGCGTCGGCTTGGATGCCGTACTTGTCCAACGTCCAGTGGGTTTTCAGCAGCCATGTCTTCTTCTTCTCCCACCACAAAGCGTGGTCCGACCAGTCCTTCTTTACATCTACAGAGAGGAATAAAGAGACAAAAGATGAGTTTTAGCAAAAATCTGAGAGGTGTGTGTTTCTAAATCTCCTCTCAATCAACTTTTATTTATATTTTGCGCAAAATCACAACAGAAAGATGCTTTCCAAAAAAAAAGAGCAGGTCTAGACCACGCTCATTGTTTGATGAATTACCAAGACCCAACCTTAAGATGGGACAGATTTGACCTATGTCATCCAACATGAGCGACAGTGGTGAGAAAACTTCCTTTTAACCGGCAGAAACCTTGGAGAGGACCAGACCATGTTCAAAAGCAAAACACAGTTCACAAAATATGAGCGTAACCAGAGGGTTCAGCCTGTATCAATCACACTGTACTAACCTGAGCTCACCAAATCTGTCCCCCAGGGGCAGAGGTCACATTTGAGGTGAGAGTGGGGCAAAGAAAAGGATTGCATGGGGGCGGTGAAGTCAGAGTGAGAGGGAGGAGACAGCTGAGTGTGTGAAAGACGTGGCTGTTTGTGTGACACTGCAGGGATATCAGGTTCATACCTCCCTCTTTGTTCCCAAGTCGCACTGTGATCCCTCTAAAGCACACACAAGCCGGCCAAAACCCCTCCTGGCTCCCGAGCTTTCTCTTGGCGAGGGGTTCAGCACAATGGGGACCAACCTGAGGTCTCATGCTGTTTGTGTCTGACTTCAAGGGGAAGGTGAAAAACCGCAGGGATTTGAGGGAACTCAAAGCAGCTCTTTGTGGATCACCTTGGTCTAATTTCTGTACAGGCCGCACGGGGATGGAGCTGGAGCCGCTGTTCATCTCAAGTATTCGAAAAGAGAATGAAAAATAATTTCAGGACATTTCTTATCTGTTTATCACCTTGACAGGAATGTCTCACAAAATACTTGAAAGATTAAAGCAGGTCAACTTTAAAAACACCAGCTGACAAAAGAATCTGGGTCTCCTCACTTTTAAGGGAGTTAAGAATGTTGTTTTTGTGCTTATGCTCCCGACAGTGTAAATACGATACTGTGATAGAGTTCATAGTTTGAGTCTATTATACTTTCAGATGTCCCCCTAAGCAGTGATGTCATTACCCCGGCATTAGTCCAGGAAGGCACTTCCCGAAGTGGTGTCTCATTTCCTCCACCCACACACCCCATCATCACTTCTCCAGCCTATCTTCTGTCTCTCTCTCTCTCTCTCTCTCTCCCCCTCTCTCCTCTTAAGAGTCACTGCGTCCAGACACCGCAGAAAGTCTGCTAAGTCATCCTGGAATCAAAAGCACCCGAGCTGGTTCGACATATTTACTGTTGTGTCTGCTAAAAGGGTCTAAACTGAGGCGAATGTCCAGATGTGGAAGAAAGTGTTGCCAAGAAAAGCCGAGTCATGACCTCATTATTGAACACACTAGAACGCAGAGAACAGGTAGTACATTTTGTTGGAATGATTTATAAGGAAAGTTTAACAACAGTGAGTAAACTTCAGTGAAATGAACTCCAATAAACTTGTTTTTACCTCAACTAAACTTTTCCTTGAGAGATTTACATCACTTATTTCTTGATTACCAGACAGAGAGACTGTTAAAAACTAGGGGTGGGAATCACTAGTGGCTCCATAATACGATGTTATCACGATACTTGGGACACCATATGATATTATCACGATACTTGGGACACGGTACGATATTATCACGATACAATATTATCATGATACTTGGGACATGACATGATATTATCACAATACTTGGGACACGATATGATATTATCACGATACTTGGGACACGATATGATATTATCACGATACTTGGGACACGATACAATATTATCACAATACTTGGGACATGACACGATATTATCACAATACTTGGGACGCGATATGATATTATCACGATACTTGAACCATGATACAATGTTATTGCGATTTTTAACAATTTGCAATACAGTGAATATTGCGATACAATATATTGCGATTTAAACATTTTCTTTTAACTGTTTAGCCAATTTCGCATTGGTCTTTCCACTGACTTATATACACAGTATTTTGCCTTTATGTAGCACATTTTGCAAACCTTAGATATATTCGTTGCATTAACTTTCTTCTGCTCTATGATGTCACCTCTGCCAACCTCACTGTACAAACAGTTGATTTTATTTTTCCATTATCCTAGATTTGACTTCATATAAGCAATTAATTTGAAAAATCGATACTTGGTAAATAAGACGATACAATATATCACCAGACAAAATATCAGGATTTTATGCTGTAACAACTTTTTCTCCCACCCCTTTTAAAAACCCCTACAATCCACCTACAAATCAATCAGTAATAGTCTTTGCAAGATGAATCAGGACAAGCTGCATATGACCCTGATTAAAAAAATGCATCATCTGTTTTTTTTCAAGGTTGGTACAAATGATTACAACAGGGTTTTAGAACAATCTATTAAAGTAAACCACAGCTCCTAATGGAAAAACTGACTCCATAATTAAGTGGCTTTTAGAGCATCTGAACAACAGTCGAGTATGCAAAACTTTAAATCATTGCGGTCTGAAATTTTCCACAACACGCACGTCACTATTGCTCAACTATCTCGCGTGTTTTCCTGCGTTGACCCTCTCCATCTGTCAAACAGCTTGGTGCCATGGTAACCTAAACCTTGAGTGGCCTTCTGCTTCCATGTGCCGCTATTGTTTCCCCTGACCTTAACTTTACACAGGGGCACCCGTTTGCATTGTCGACCCTCTCCTGCTGATCTCAATCTAAGAGCTGGATGAGCGGGATTAGCGGACGAGTGGGTGAAACAACGGCTCAGGACCAGGAAACAAGACTGCTGTGATGTGAGGAAAGCAAACTGGAGGAATGAGGAAGAGATTACGCTGGAGATTTGGATCTGGGGGGAAAGTTTCAGAAGACAAGGCCACCAGCGTCTCAATGGGAAAGCTTGGGACGGCCTGAATTGATTTGGGGGAGGGGGTTGTTTGTCAAGCTGTTTGGTTTTATACTGTTTACTCCGGGGGGAAACACTTGGTACCCAAGTGAAAACATTCCAGGATTTCTTTCTGGGACCCTCTGTGGGCTTCTCTAGCAGCATGGGGTCCGGCTGTCAACGCTTCACTCTGATGCCTCAGCTGTGCCCATCGCAACTTCATGGCTACTTTCTGAGAAACTGCTCCCTGAGGAGCACGGCTGCGATTAACGGCAGAAATAATGAGAGGGAGCAGGGAGAGGAAAATTGAAAATAAACCTGTGTGTATTTTCATAACTCTGCACACAGATTTTCCTCTTAAAACCTTGTAATTTCTTGTGTCTGGGAGAAATTTAGAAGAGCTAGCATTTAGGTTTGGCTCCCAGGTCTTCACCTCAGACCACAATCTGTAGAAACGTCCTCATACTCGGCATGCATGACCACCATGCAGTCTGAACGAACGTCCTGGTTGCTCAATATGCTCCGACGGCCCCCTGCACCACTATTTTTTAGTCGCCGCCCACCATCAAAACCTTAATGGACATGCTCTCTCCTTCCCTTCCCTTGCTTTTGTCGTTACGCGGTGGTTCGATGAGTTGCGATTGGACGAGGGCGGCTCGGGTGGGCGTCCATTGGGTTCTTTCAGCAACAGGGTGGTAACTCAATCCACGGAGAGGGAGGGAGAAAGGGCCAATGGCATCTCCAAGCTAAAAATACAGCCTGCCAAGCCTGACGTAATGCAGCAGCCAGAGGAGCGAGGGCCTAAGTAATTGGGTGCATTAAATGTGGACCCACAGCCCCGCAGTGGAGTGATATGTGTGGGGGTGTGTGAGTGTGTGTGTGTGTGTGCAAACAAGAGGGGGCTTGAAAGACAAGGGGAGGAGAGACAGAATGGGAAAAGCATGTTTTATGACCTTTGCAGGACATGAAAGATGATACAGAGATGGGGTGTGTGTGTATGTGTGTGCTGGTTTGGGGATGTGCAGAAGGCAGGGTGTTCTTACCCATCCATTAACTACATTAGCCTGGTGTGTGTTGTACGTGTGCGCGCTTTAACGAGACAAATTAATGTATAAACTCTGTCAAATAGAATTATCCTCATTCACCGCCATCACTATGACACCGCCGAGACCACTTCCCCAGATACTAAAGTATGAAATGCTGCTTTTGTGAACTTCTGCTCGACAGAATATAACACAAAAGTACACAAGGTCTGCGGGGCTTTCACTGGGACGATCATGGAAACTGATTTGTCCCTCCTTCTCTGTCCTCCCATCAGTCTTTGCTCTCTCCATCCCTCCCCTTCAAGTCAGAATGTCTTTGGTGTTTACATTAGGAGGCTGCGATGTTTATGGAGGCCTGTCTGCGAGGGGGGGAAGGGGACAGGACAGAGGGGAGGATGAGAAAGTAAAGGAGGGACAAGGAGGGATGAGCAGGGGACAAGGGAGGAGCTCTGACGGGGGGAAGGAAGAAGAAAGTCTAAATGCAATCCTACTGGACTAAATTACAACGCATCCACGATTTTTGTTTTATGAATAAAAATACCCCTCTTTTTTCTTATGATACAACCTCACTGTGCAGGAAATGGTTATGTTTAATTAAGTCAAATTACATGATCACTTATGAGTGAGAGAATAAGACAGCAAGTGTCTAAAGATGACAGGTTAAATAAGAGAAACATTTTAGCCCTTAAAGGCTGCAGATCAGAGTTCTGTCCTTTGACTGGACATTTAGGCCTGACAAATAAAGACTTTGCAGTTGGATGTGCCCTCGATGACTCACACTTAATTGTCTTTAACCAGCAAAGCAACAGTCAGCTGACGCCTGCTGCAAAAATCTGGCTCATCTGCAGCATCTCTGATGGAGGTGTTTTATAACCGAACTCGTTCACAAGTCAAGGCTTCGTGTCTGTGTTTGTAAAGAGAGGTTTTTCCTCTGACAGTGTTCTTCATAAGCTCTCAGAGCCACACTGTTTTCTACCAGTCTAAGCCAAGGCCGTTCAGCACAGGGCTTTGTCATTTTGAGGCATCCGCTGATAAAAACATAGCTGGGTGAGGCTGGTCATGTCGTTTCCTTGGTGACTAGCAGCTGACGCCGCAGGGGCAGTGGTGCGAGGCAACAACTTGTTTTGATTCATAACAAGGAAAGCTGCAGGTTTGTCGGTGTTAGTCTCATGCGCGCATACACATTATGTCCCCTTTCTCTTTCCGAAGTATACTCCTCACCTGCAACAGGCTGAAGGTCAATATTGACAAGCAAAGATAGAGGAAGCGTCAAGCTTAAATTAGATCTACTGTAAAAAGGCCTTTAGGACTTCCCTTGCGTGTGTAGTCGGGGGAGATAGTGTCGAGATCAGATATCTAACATGTGTACAATGAGGCTGATAGGGACAGGTGATGACAGTATGTGCATGATAGACAGGAGATAGTGAGTCACACGTGGTCAAGACGGAAGATTGACGTGATACGAATGATGCACAAAACCCTGGGCTACTCTGAGGACAAAGCATAAGACAGTCAGTGACATAAGAGGTAAGAGAGGAGCAGATAGACTGGTTCCTTGGCCTGTAAAATTGATCAACAGATTACCTTCAATGAATAGGTCACACTTATCGTCTGTGCCACATCACCTATGCTTCACAAAAGGGGTGGGAGAAAAAAAATCGATTCACATAGGTATCGCGATTTTTTGTTTTAGAATTCTTAAACTGATTTTTATGTATATCTTTAAGTTTAAGACTAAATCTTAAAAACTGACTTACATGTGATGTGTATTTCTTGGGGAAATATGGTTCCTGGAGTAGTCAGTCTACAATCATAATCATTCAACTGTTTCACTGGTGTTGAAAATGCAGACTAAAAATCGCGAAAACCGACAATATCGTAAAATCGCAATTTAAATCAAATCGGCATCCAAAAAAATCGTAGAAGAATCGAATCGGAAGAAAAGCATACCGTCCCAGCCCTACCTCACAAGCACTACAAATAGCCTTTTTGCTGTTTCTCAACATAATACTTCCTACCACAGCTGACAGGTTGAAGCTCATCTTTGGCAAACACAACTGATGTACCGTATTTTTCGCACTTTAAAAGGCGCACCGGATTATAAAGCACATTAAGCCAAACAAAACAGTCAGATAACTTAATTTAACGCATTCAATAACTCCGTGAGGCTACGGTAGCTGCAGTGCTCCGACAAGCCAAAAGGATTTTAAGTGCTCCTTATAGTGCAAAAAATACGGTAATTAGTTGAGCTTATTTTAGATAGTTATTAAACACCGGCTAGGCTCTCTGCCAATGACCAATCACAGCAGCTCATTAATTATGCAAAACACTGCTTTCATCTAAACATTTTCAGGCTCTCAAAGTCACCCGACAAATCATTCAGACAAAGGGATTCTTAGTGTTGCCTTAAAAGCTTTTAAGAAAAGGAACAAAGGTTCATCAAGGTCGTACCCGTGTCAGTGATACACAGCCCACTTAAGAAGGAGAGCTATTAAGGTCAAGGCAGGCCCAACAGGAGTCAGGAGACTCTTGACAGGTATTGATCCAAGTCAGTGTTATACTGACACAACTCTTTCTTTACATTCACACTGACCGAGTCCAAGTCCAGCTCGTTTTTAGCTTTCAACGACTCTGCTTATCTTTCTATAGGCTTCAAAGATTCATACATTCCCTCTAAGATCAAACACTATCACAGCTTAGAGAGAGGTTTTACCAAAACATGAGTCCGTAGGTGAAATGTGGGCGTCAGAGCCGGGCTCAAGACAGACAAAAAGGACATTACCTCAGCGTGGAGTGAGTTTGAAATCTTAACAGGAAATTAAGAAGCATCCTGGCAGCCTGTTGTAGTAAGAAGATCGAGACACAGTGCGTTCTTGGATGCATTAGGAGAGGACAAGAGGGCTTTTAGAGGAAGCCTCCTTAGAGACGGATAGTTTGTTTCCATTTGTGTCATTTTCAAAACAAAGCAAAACATCAGGGGTACTCCCGCTCCACCCCGACACAGCTTGATACAATTAAGAGCTCAGGACCCGGTGGAATAATGATATTACAAAGAAACTCCTGGACTAAGATCAATGGTGCAGATAGATAGACAACATCCATCTGCGCTTCTATCCATGCGTGCTTCCTGCCAGATCTCCACTCAGGAGTGCGATAAGCCGACGCGCTGATGCCTCAATCGCCCCCCAGGCTTTGGGCTGCGTTTCTCTAGGACCAGGAGGCGGACTTGGATGGAAAAGTTAAACTTCTAAATGACTTGTATGTTGGTTTCATACACACGATATACTTCTGGATATAAATCCAATTTATAGGGACTAATTTACACTGAAAATATACCTGGGCGATGGAGTTATTGCCCTCATTTTGCCTCACTCCTTGGTGGTGGAATCCAACACCTCTCTATTTCCCTCTGTGCTCTCTAAAAGGTTGCACACAGGGGGCAGACGGAGAGGTGGGGACGACTTTAAATGAATGAAATGTGGGCTGAGAACCTTTACACAAAAAAACTCCATATCAGCTTACTCCATTGACCCGCAGGTGTGTGGTGTTACGACAACAATGTGCTGCTGCTCCAACATTTCCTGCTACTACTGCGCTGCCATGCAACTACAGGAAGGCGAGAGGGACAAAAAGCAACAAGCTTCACATTTCCCAGAGGAGACATGAAAGTCGGCTGTGCTGCATGTTTAAGATGCCAAACAGGAGTAATTAAATCATCCTTAACAAGCACGGCCGCCCCTCCATGGTAATGGTCAAGACGGAAAAAAGGGGCATTTCAATTAAGGCGATTGGATTATGTTGTGCTTTAAATCAAATACACATACTTGTCTCACATCCAGTTTAGCAGTAAACAACCAACCGGCTGACTGTTGCTCCTCTGACACGACTCTTCATCCAAACTACCTGCATCAATCAGGTTTTGTTCAGTTTAGTGGCACAGATTTCTAGTTTCGCTCATGTGATACTGAGACAAACTCGTCATTAAACCTTTTCTATGGACGGCCAAACAGAATAGAAAAAGGTAGGACTGGGCGGTTATATGATCGTGATCGATGATCGTGATAAATTTCAGTTCGATCACGGTGATCAGCTGAGAGCATATTTGTGTGATCAAACATGGTGGAAATGTACGTCACAACAGCCAATCAGAGTCGAGCTTTTCCTGCCCACTTCTGTAAGTTACTGGAGAAGTAAACAGAATGACCGAACGTGGAGCTAAACGTGGAGCTGAGGGCAGCAAGATAGTTGTCAACCGTGACTTTGAGTCATCCTCCGAAGATGTTAGTGTTGAGAAGTTATTCAACGTCGGTTGTGTGGCGGTGGTTCGAGTATTTACAAAGTGACGTAGAGTAATTAAGTTGATGTGTAAGGTATGTCGGCGATTGGTGCTCTCAAAAACCGGCAACACATCAAATCTGTTTAATCATTCGAAGAGGTACCTCCCCAATGATTATGCGGAAAGCATGAAAATGCAAGTGGAGTCTGTACAACCTGCTACTGCTGACGGCACGAGTAGCATTAGAAGTTTAGCCACAACTAGCAATGCAGCCACCAGACCTAGGCAGCGATTAATCATATCATTTACGTTTACATCATCTAATGTTTACATTTTAAGGTGTCTCTATTATCTCTGAGGGGGCGATTCGTTTATTTTGGGTCTTGCATACCTGAAAAAACACTCACGACTGCAAACTAATTCACTGTATTATCTAGTATTTATCTACATTTGTTGTACTGTTGAGTTAAAATGTTTTTTTCATATATTTTTCTAAGTTAATCTTATTCAATTTGCTTTGTTATTTACTTTGTATGTTAATAAAATGTTGAACTAATCTCTAGTTTCTTTAGTTTTTAGTACAGATGCTTTAAAACAGGCAGTTAAAAAAATCATGATAATAATCGAGATCGGACGATAAAACAAAATATATTGTGATCATTTTTTTTGCCAGAACGCCCAGGCCTAGAAAAAGGTCTACATGTGTTAGCGGTCAAAATCAACTCTTAAATCCCAACTTGTGCATGCAGGCATCTATGCAGGCACAATCACTGCAGCATCTCGCAAGTGAAACAGGAAAGCTCTGGCCTGGGCAGGACCGCTACTTACGCTAACTACTTCCTGTCAGAGAGATTAGCAAGCAGGACGATCACAGGGGCTGTTTCTCACTTTTTAATGCGAGATAAATTTAGGATGGCTCCTCAGTTAAGACTCATGATGATATATGTGAGCAAAAACAAGAGCGAGCCATCTATATCAAATAAAACTTCTTCTTGTCCTTGGGTAGGCTACTGATGGTGGAGATGTGAAAGTTCACAGCTCTCATTATCAGGACAATTATGACCGAATAATCTCTGCTCTTCATCTCACTATCTGCAGGGAGGGACTTAGAACCCACGCTCTTCCTCGGTGAAGGGACACAGAGAGGGCAGGAAGGCGGGAACGCAAGGAAGGCACTAGGGAGAGGGCGCACAAAAAGAGCCTGGAGGAAGTTCAGCATCCTGTGTTAAATCACGTCTGTTTCCTAATGAAACCTGCACTCCATTGTCAAACTGAAGTCATCTGCCTTGTGGTCAGCGGACAGATTTTTGGCACCACAAGAAGGACTTTGAAACTGTAACATGACGTCAAAAATACAAAAGAAATCATTAAAGTCACTCCTGCGTCTGAATACTAGAGAAATGACTAATGATTGCTGTTCGGTTTCTCTAAAAGGAGGAGCAGAAGTGGGGAAACATTTCCTACATTCTTCGCTTGAACAAAACTGAAACCAATGGGAGATGATGACATCTGTCGAAAAGCTTGCAATTTCAATATGTAGGTCATCTCAAATACAAAACACACATTTTCTCTGACTTGCAGGGGAAACTTCTCTGCGGTTTACTGGGCCGGCCAAAAAACTGCAGGCCCCCTCATTGGAAACCATGAACAATCAAAATCACACAAGGCCAATTAGTTTGTTCAAGTTCTATTTATGGAACATTTCAGAGTACAAGATCGTGGGTCAGAACCGAGGAGAAGGTGGACAATGTGTACTTTCACGATTTTCTGTTGATTATTAAGCCTTGCTGCGTGTCTGGGGGAGTCAAACCAGGAGATATGACTGCTGAGACCTAAAATAGAGACGAAATATTAAACCACAAACTTGTGTTTAAAGAGCAAAAGGAGGGAGAACGGAAAAGAGGGAGGTGGATGAAGCAGGCAGCCGAGAATCCAGCAATGACGGCAGTGACCAGAGAACAACATGCCAAACGCTGGGAGTCATTTCCTGCTCCATCGAAGACTTTTATGGAATTCTAGCAGCGTGGCTAACGTCATGATGAGGGGGGAAGACTAACTCACTCCACACACCTCCCTTTTCCACTCTGTTCAGCCCCTCTCCCCTCATCTGTCTGTTTGGGGAGGAGTCTAACTAGTATGTTAGTAGATACTCCACTAAACTCCTGTAACAAAAAGATGACATTTTCACCTTAAACTGAGTCATTTTGACACCAGTAAAACTAGTAATCCACTATAAAGATGCAGAGTCAGCTGTTCACTACAGTAAGGGATTGTAAACATGAACAGAAAATCACATTTTTGCTTCAGTAAAATGTACCAGAACCTTTTTTTCTGAGAACTAATTTGATAAAACATGATCTGAATGAAGTATTTGATGGGATGATTTGAGTGTATATGCCAGAAGGTCCTTAAACACCAGGGCTGACACGCATATATAGAATGCAAAATCACGAAATATTCAAGGGCGAATCTTGACGCGCCTGACTATACACATCAAGCCCGATGCGATTTTGCGACTTTACGGGGGGGAAAAAGACGCGTCCCGGGGAAGACTTTTCCAGGGGAAAGTCCCGCCTCCTTCGCCTCTGATTGGCTAGAAAAGCTGGAATCGTCGTTACACGCTCAAGCCAAATGGTCAGCACTTTCCCTCAACAACCAGCGTCCCGTCTGGAAGTGAGAAGACAAAAATGGAGTCTACTTGGTACTTTTGGAATTGGTACTCATTTTGCTTTCTCAAAAGGAAAAGAAACGCAGCACATGGGTGCATCCAATATTACAAAAAAGAAGAGAACGCTGATTGTTTTCAGTTCTGATTAGACACTAGTGTTGAGATGGTTTTCTGTCATGATAGCAAATACTGAGTCGGGGCAAGTACCAGATAAGCACATGAAACTATGGTAACAACCGTTAGCTTTAGTTAGCACAGATGAAGATGTTTAGCAAACTGTTAAAGCACACAAAACATCGTCATATGAGAGATCCGACGCTATGACTCTCCACAAGTTGTCCTTCAGGTCGATATCTTTGTAATGTTTGTGTCTTTTATCAAAATGCACTCTGTTCTCCGACACGTAAACAATCAGCCTGTTGGATATGTTGGATATGTTGAATATACCGGTGAATCTGACATCGCAACAACACGCAATCTGATTGGTCAAAAGTGGACACACAGTATGCGAAACTTTAGAAAAATTGACCATGATCCCAAAAAATAAATGTAGCAATATCGCAGGACAGTAAACGTTGCTGATGTGCACGCTTGTATAGACAGGATACGGGTTTGAAAACAAAATACTGACGTCCGAAATAATCGCATGAAAAAATTCACTCATGGCCTCAAGATCTACACTCTACACTCGACCTAAAAGCTTCTTAACTTGGGCGCAATCTCTTTCAATCCATAAACTTCCGTCAGCTAATGTTGTTTGTGCAACATCTCCTGAATGGTACAATATCAGCTCTTAGAGGGGGGAGGGCTGCACTCTTTGGAAAAACATCAACAATATCAGAGAGAGCCTAAATGATGGTTAGCATCAGTAAGATGAAAGGATTACAGGAGCCAGAGACCAGAGGGTGGTCAATCAGCTGGCTTTAAATACTGCTCTGCTGGAAGGTTGAAGGGGAAATGGAAGCAGAGTTTGCTACTGTGATCAATAGCTGAGTGCCTTCCTGGCATTTGTCTATTTAATCCATTATCGAAGGCCGCCCGAGCCTGCAAACGTAGACGGGGGAGAGCTGCAGCGAGCTCACAGGAAGAGTTTGAAAGATGGAGGCAGGATGCATGTGGACGAGGCACACCCACCGTTACCACCGGACTACCCACAATCACGTGTAGGAGCACATGCATAAATACTACTAATGAGAACGCCGGCCATTGAGGAGAAGTTAGCTGACCTCTGCAAATTCGACACTCAAAGTACAGCATGAATTAATCGTGCTTCAAATGTTGAGCGCTGCAGGCCTCATTGAAAGCAATTACTTAATCGAAAAACGGTCGTTTAATTTGGAGCACAAGAGACTGAAAGACGGAGAGAGGAGGGAGTAAGACAGAGATAGAGATTTGTCGAAAAAACCCTGGTGTGTCTACGTGTCGCTCCTCACAGGACCGTGTGTGTGTGTGTGTGTGTGTGTGTGTGTGTGTGTGTGTAACTAAGACATCCAAGCTATCAGCAAATCCAGCCGTGAATATGTGACAGCACCTCAGAGGTGTTCAGTGAGAATATTCAGCGCTTGAGACACTGAGAGATGAGGAAACGCAGGTTAGCTTTTAAAAAAAAGAGCCAGAAGGTTATTCCCACGTGGTTTATTTACTGTACGTACTCTTACCTAGCTGTGTTTGTTACCCCACTGTAACTCAAATCCTGCAAGATCTTACTTTCTTGCTAATTTCACTGCTTTGCCCAATTAACAAATATACTGCCTGGACAACAAAGACAATATCCAAACACAAAAACTGGATCTCATGTTGGATACTCTCCTGCGGTGTGTGGCCATGTGGAAAACTCGAGTTGTGTGCAAGTTAATAATTACAATACAAAACAACCTGTTGACTCAGGGTTGGAGGGAGATGGCAGTCGACTAAGAAGTCCCCACGCTCAGTTTGTGAAACTAGTCGAGATGTTAGATCCTAACACTCAAAGAGAAGTTAAATAAAGCTGCTTAGGTTTTGCTCCTCGATTGTCTTTAGAAGCATTCAACTGCAATAACAGTGCTGGTAGTAGAGCTGTAAGAACAGTAACCACAGCTAGATTCAAAAAGCTGTCATGATAAAAATGTAACACAAACAAATGTGCACACCCTCTTTTTTTTGTTTTTTTTACTTTGGTACAACAAAAACGAACCTCAAGCCACTGGAATCTTCGGCAGATAAAAAAGGAGTGAGCAGATCAGCTTCATCCTTAAGAACCATAAAAACCATCACATCCTACTATGATTGTATGTTCTACTTCATCTTGATTCAAAAATACATATATTGACCACACATTTTCAACAATATATAATCTGTCATACAATTATAACATCGCAAAACCTCATATATTCTGAACTGCTGACCAAAAATGAGAAGAAAAGCCATGCCCTTCAAACAGATCTGCACAAAAAGCACAAACCCAACCCAAACAATGAATAAGGCCCGGTCTTGAGAGGAGTAATCTGGGTGGGAGTACCAAGGACTCCATGTCGTCAAACACGCGGCAGCAGCTCTGCACTCCCTAAGCATGGATGCTGCACAGCAGCACAGGCGACCACGGAGAACAAAGACCTCAATTATGTGGAGCTCCAACAGGAGAGCTAAAAACAGGACCATGGGTAGGGAATAAAACCTTGGAGCGCTGCAGGAATGCCGAACATTCAAGCACCATCGACACACAACACACTGTCACTCCCAAATCACAGTGCCACGACCACTGAACTTTCTCCAGCAGCCTCCATGAAGCAGGGCAGTGTTCGAGCGGCTGGAACAGAGGACTCTTATTCTTCCTCGCACCCAAACTTGTCAAGTACGCAACTGTAGGAATAGAACAGTGGATAATACAGAGGGGGGAGGGGGCCACTGTGTATGGTTTCTCTATACCTTGGGTTACTGACCCATATACACCGCAGGGTAACAAAGAAGGATATTAACCCCTGCATGTCTGCAAAACTGAAAGAGGACTTTGAGCGTGTTTCATGCAACTAAAGTCAAAGACAGATACATTTCCTTTCTCAATTCCTCAAAATATTCCTCACAGAAAGCAGCTTTTTGAGTACCTAGACTTGACAAATGTGGGTTCTGGTTCTTTGGCCAGTCTAAAGAAAGTTTACATATCAAAGTCATGTGTAAACATAGTGAAATCTCACTTCTCAGAGCGGTAACAACTTTGAAGAAAAAAAAAGGAGGTATTTATTGCCTGACTTTTACAGACAGATAAGAAGAAGTCAGCCTTGACACACACGCAGCTTCAGCAGGATGGTCCAGAAGTTAGGTTTGAGAGAGATTTCATGATGCAAATCCAACCTGCACAATCCCTGCTGTTTCTCTGTCAATCATGAGTCAAATCATCATTAAAGAGCTGCTAATGTCTGTGTATTACACATCAGATAAGCTGATCCAAACTCCTCTGCAGACAACAGCAGCATGCACGCATACATACCTAGTTTCTCCACCAGTTTGAGCATGACTCCTCCAATGTGGATCTCTCCAGTGACCCTCAGCGACACGTCCCTGTGGAGGTCAGTGACATGCATCTTCAGTTCCCACGTCCCGTCGGCGTAACAGCCATCGGGCATCCGGATCCCGTCCAACGCCATCCTGCCAAAAACAGAGCCCGAGTGGTCAGAAGGCGAAAAAAAACGGTCATGTTAAACTTCTGTCACACTGGAGTGAAAAGAAACCTCCTGACCTTCTGGATAGGAATAAATACGGCGTAAAGCTCATGCATGCAAACACATCCTTGAGTTGACTCACATGAACACTGTTAGCAAAGTTCATTCATATCGCATGTGGCTGTGGGCTTTTACAGCGTTGAACATGGATTACACAGATGAAGATTAAGAGAATTTAGCAGGGTGTCACCTGTACTTACTGTAAATTTACACAATTCACACATGAATTGAAAACAGAAAATTATCAGAAATTTCCCAATACTATTATGCAATACAATGGTATTAAAAAGGGTGAGATATCATTGAGACATGTACACAGTCAGATCCTGGGTTACTTTATCCTCAGTCTGAACCAGGAGTTAAGGTTTTCTAAAGGAAGTATGTGTAACACTGGAGGTGTGGCCTACTTTAGATACTTCTAATTCATCATTAACACTTTAAATTTACTTGAAATTGTGTTCAATTAATTTTCTTCTATTGCTGACAAAGGGTAGTAGAGTGAGAGTTACCATTTCCAACATCAGCTTACTGTTATGAGAGTGCTTCAGAGATATCTGATTCAGCTTAATAATGGACAATTGACCCTCTGGGAGTGACATGTTCAATAAATAAACATCCAATACTCAAGTCTCTGTGAGTCTCCTTGTGAGTCTTGTTGGGGAAAAAGTGAACTCCCTCCCAAAAAGTTAAATTACAGTCAATCTGTCAATTCTTTGAGCTGAGGTTATCCAGTAGCTACAACAGAGGAGCCCGGCGACCAATACGGCCGTCTGGTCAATAAAAAGGGCAGAACAAAGGCGGGTACAAGCCCAAGAAAGACCTTTTTTTCCGGGGTTTATCCTCCTAAAGGTGCCGCTTCACCTGTTAAAAATAACGGTAAAGGCACTCTTACAAATAGGCAGAGGGGTCATTATGTAAGCAGGGTCTGCTCAACAGCTTCCCGGCTGCGTGTCTTACTGGTTTGCTCGGTCGTAAAAGCTCGAAGTTCAGTGAAAAGAGTTATTAAAGGCGAACAAACACTTAAATTCAAGGAAATAGTTGTTGAATAAAGCTTTGGTTGAAGTAAAAGGAGCGGCGCCACAAGGAGAAAAAAGCGTTTTCATATTTCATAGCGGCGAACGTGCCAAGCTTTGAGGACGAACATTAAAATGAGTATACTCACCTTCACAAAGACGAAAAACACTAACACAGTTGACTACACGGTACAGGACAAAGTTCCCTTCTTTAAATCATGTAGGAAGAGTTTTATAAGACGATAAAAAAGAGAGAAATCCCCCCAAGAAGTCGCTGAAGAAGTGAAGTATCCCAAACAGTTTTCCTGCAGGCTTTCGGCTTAATGGAGTCCAGCCGTCCCTCTTCCTCCCTCCCTCTTTCCAGCGGATCACGTCACTGCTCCAATCCCACTTTTCCTTTCATACTGGGAGCTCTGCTGGTCGCCCACTCGTCCCCCTGTCACCTCACTCACACATTACACATTTACTTTGACATAACATGTGAGGGTGTTTGTGTATAAACCAAATTTGAGCACTTTTTGTGTGTTAAAAAGTCATTGTATGGAATTACTTAATATGGTTTCCAGTTTTACACTCAGCATAGCATTTCTGAACTCTTGTTATTGTTGTAGCTAATATGTTTCATGTTGGATATCTAATTTCCAGGAAAACATAAAGACACTGCAACTTTGATTAATTCATTTACTTTGTTTCAAAGAACTCAAATACTTCAAAATAAGCAGTATAAATCAAATATTTCATAGTTTTTCCAGACAGACTGAAGGTTTACTTGTGAGTATAAATGTAGTCAAGTTATACTAACAATAATACCTATTGATATGTAGATATAAAATGATACCAAGCCTTCGAAAAAGAAATAAATATTGAATTATTCAGGTTTCACCTTCAGCTTCACCAAAGCTTTCAACAATGAAGAATCCAAAAGGAGACAAAATAAAGCAGGGATGTGTTTGTATCTAATTTTTTTATCTAACAATAATCCTGTGTTGTTTGTCCTGGGTTTCCAGTTTTACACTAAAAATAACATTTTTAAACTCTTGTTATTGTTGTAATATGTCTCATGTTTGATATCTAATTTCCAGAAACTTTGATTACTTTATTTAATCTGTTTCAAAGTACTTAAATACTCCAAAATAAGCAGTTTAAATCAAATATTTCATAGTTTTTTCCAGACAGACTGGAGGTTTACTTGTGAGTATAGATTCAAGTAATACTTACAATAATACCTGCTGATATGTAGATATAAAATGATACCAAGTCTTCCAAAATCAGCATAAATTTTGAAGTCCTTTTACTCTTTATTTCACATTTACCCTTCCCCTGTATGTAAAAAACCATAAAGCTATCGGGTGATTTGTTAGACTATGTGAGAAACTTAATAAATTGCAGAAACTCAATAACATTGACTTGAAAAACTACAACTACATACAGACTGGAGGTTCGCTTGTCAGTATAGATGTAATCAAGTAACACTCTCAATAATACTTTTTGATATGTAAATATAAAATGACATCAAGTTTCTGATTTATTCAGGTTTATTCCACCTTAAGCGTCACCAAAGCTTTCCACAATCATGAATCCCAAAGTAGGGACGTGTTTGTATCCGTGGTGTATTTTTTCACAGATTTGGTCAACTTTCCACAGTTAAAAAAAAAAAAAAAAAAAAGGATCAACATTTTGTGTCAGGGGCAATGGACGTGCAGTTAAGATCTTTGGCTGCCTTTTATGGCAATAGTACTGCTGAGCCTTAAAGCAGCATCCAGGGACCCCGTGGGCCCGTAGCTCCAGGAGTGCGAGTACAAAATAACACAGCTTTTTTGGTCACCATTACAATCTGAGTATCTCCTTTTGATATTTCTTGACCAAAAGCTCCTTAAGTGGAGTAAGGAATGTAGAAAGTAGCCAAAATATATATAACCTTTTTTTTATTCCTGACACGACATGTGATAAATTAACGTGTCATTATGATGTTGAATAGGAAAACTGGAGGGGTGTCAGAATTCGTGATGTATTCTTTGAGGGTTTGAAATAATAAAATTTGTTATAATTTATGATTTTATCTCAAATATTATCTTATGCTGGAGCACAGAAAGTATGCACAGCTGCACAACAGTAGTAAAAATATGTAGTATTAACCTTTCAAATGCATTATCACAGAAGTAAAAATATTACCCCTCATTTGATGAGTAAAGAGAGGAAGGTGCCAGTATTTCCAAACTGACCTATCCTGCCAAAATCAGCATAACTTATTGAGTCATTTCATTCTTTTTTTCCACATTTACTCTTCCCCTGAATGTAAAAACCATAAAGCTATCGAGTGATTTGTTACACCGTGTGAGAAGCTTAATAAATTGCAGAAACTCAATAACATTGTCTTTAAAGATGCACCTAAAACTGTCGGCCAAACTTTGCCAATATAACTCTGTAACTTTGAGTAAATTTGCTTTATTTTCCCAATGCAACATACTTAAAATTATCATCGGCATTGCTATCAAGAGAGAGAATCATACGTCTGCAGCACCAAAATGCAATAAAACCTGGAGATGATACTGCATAGATGTTGCTTCACTGTCTCTCCAGTGTCAAATAAATAAGATTTTTTTCCATTGTGCATTTAAACTTTAACTCAAGGGTAAAGAAAGTATGCATTCCCTTTGCACGATACACACTCCTTACACACTCTCCACCAAAGACCCATGAATCATCAGTATTTCTGGCTCTCTCAGCTCCAATCCTCCAGCTCAGGAATCTGGGCCTTCAGACTCTCCGGTCTGCATCAAAGCGATTTATAAACTCTCCCTGCAGCGCCGACCCCCCCTCCTCCTCCTTGTCAGTGTCTGGCATTCAAACCTGTTGCCTTTTATAGGCTGTGTTTTAATTGCGGAGTAAACATTGGAGCCGGTCAGATGTAGAGCAGGAGAGGCAGATAGGAGGGAGCTGGCTGGCTTTTGGTGATGTGGAGGAGGAGGGGGAGGAAGAAGAGGTCAATGAAGGGAAAGAAAGAGAGTTGAAGGGCTTGGTGCCATATTTAGGTAACAATATATAGTTTTTCAGCATTTAAAATGTGCTATATGGGGTACCTGAAGCCATTTTAAATATACAGTATATGTATATATTGAAACGTGTGAAAGAACCCGACATTTAAGACAATAAAGAGCCTTAACACATGTCAAAATTAATTAGTAAAGGGCTGTAAATGGAGGCAGGAAAGGAGGAAGACCACAGAGGACAGATGGTCAATAGGGGTCTTTGTTCAAGAATTACCTATAGATGACTGACCTCTTCTGGCCAAACACAGAACAGCAGGGTGGATGCATTATTTATGAGTTACCTCTGCTCTAAGCACTTCCATCTGTGGGCCTTTGCCTTTGCAGATGTTGCTCGGCTGCATTAATGCCCCATAACTCATGAGGAAGCCATGCCTGCTTTTGGATTACAATGTGGCCTATTCACGATCTATAAGTCAGCTTTGTTATTCACATCAGGGGGGCTGCTGCCATGGAAAGAATCTCTTGAGTTTCAGCTAACAAACAGCTCCATTGTCTGACCGAATCAGTCTGGAAATGAGCGATGAAGCTGCCGTATTCTGGAAAGATCAACCTCCCTCTTCTCCTACCCAGTAGCACAAACACAATCCAAGTTCAATATTCTTCCCCCGCTATTATCTGCGGGATATGACAGATGAAAAAGTAGTAGTCATTGTGTCCAAAAAAGAAGAAAATGCTTTAATAAAAGGAAATAAATACAGTGCTTTGGATGGCAGTTAGAATCCATTACAGGCATGGGTTATTGCACAGATCTAAGGACAGACAAAAACACTTTTCCAGACATCCGCTCAAAGTTAGAGTAACAGTGATACCTAACACAAACGTTACACATTTCATTCAATACATCCCATATTCATTTCATTGTTTTTCTCCTTTTCAATCAGTGACTGATAACGTGGCTGTAGAAACTTTCTTATTAACCCAAAGTGAAGTCCCGACAGTTCTACTCAATAATGGCTTCAAACTGGTATCAACAATAGTGTCGAATCTAGAAAACATGTAACAGAAGACATTTCCCTGATGCTTGTGGTTCTTTTAACAAGAAAAGAAATATACTGTCATTAATCAAAAAACGCTGTGCATTAAATGCTCATAAAGTACAATGTGTTTGAAGTCCTCCAGTTTGGTAGCTTTTTTTTCTTCTAAGCAGGCAGAGTGAATTCAGGTGGAAATCTGTGCTTGAATCAAGATTCGCAAAGAATGGGAAATTGAACATTTATTTTGCAAACAGTGCAAGGTTGCAAACACTGACTGAAAGGTCCGTATATAATCTTTTAATATATATTTGCTGTCTGAAACCCCCCCCAAAAAAATGCAGAGGCAGCTTGGACTTTGAGTCTTGCATTACATGTCTAAGGTCTCCTAGGTAAATTGCATGCTTTCTGCTCAAGTTAAAAAAAGACATTCTCTAAAAAAAAAAAACGAATGGGCATTTCTTTATACAATTTTGTGCAATTTAAAGCTGTTACATCTATCATTCAGTATTTTCTTGCACCACTCCCTTATTTTTCCCTGCTTCCATTTCACCCCCCTGATCGCCTAGTTGGTCATGTGAGAGGCAGACAGCTTTCAATCAGCCAGTTCCTGCATAATTCATGTCGACAGTAAATTCCAATAAATGGTTTCTTTTTTTCGCCATAGCCCTTGACTGTATGGAACAATAATGTAACCGCTTATACAAAGCAAATTAAAACAAGTTCTTTGATATCATTATTACAGGCAGAGCATGAAGACTGATCAGCTCTGACAGCAATCAAGTCTGTGACATGTGAAGAACGAGCTGAGGGTTACTCCATGACTTCGTCTGTTACTAATGTCTCCTAAATGGTTTAAATAGCAACTAATAAACAATCACGAGTGGTTTCCTGCTCGATTAAACACACAAAGCAGTTCCTTAGATGTTTGTTGGCAATGTTTTTTCTTTTCCATTCACAATTCAAAATGATGCCACGCAACAGGAGTAAGTTTTGTTTCTTCTGCATACTTGTTACTGGGTGTGTCTTTGAAGAAACCACATCTGTCAGGCATCTGAGTCATCATTACTGGAGTCCTTTTCTTTTTGTAGCTGCTTTGACAAACCTAAGGCAACAGTTACGATGAGCAGCAAAAGTCATTTTTAGAAAAAAAAAGAAAAGAAAATAGCCGTGACTTGCCGTCATCAGCTGTCCTCTTTCCAGTTCGTTTACATGTCATGAGAGTTGGGTAAAGAAACATCTTGAGTGACTGGAAAATTCACTTTTAAAAGACTAATGAAGTAAAAAAAACCCACAGCTGATATATTCAGGGGAAAGTAAAACAAGAAAAGGCAAACAATATACAGTTAGTTTCGTGTGCAATGTATCACAAGAGCCTCCAAATAAATCAAGCTACTTTTATCTAATCATTTTAGTCTGAGCTAGCATCAGAAATGCCAACGCCAGGCAGCTAACAAGCACAAGACATATATGAATGCAGTTTGGCCGCGAGTTTGAATCCCCTATTCCCTAATATGAGACACGGGTTTCTATTTACAAGCGCCTGAAAGCCTTTCTCTAGGAAAAATATTTCTTTTTGAATCTTTTTTCTAAGACAAAATACATCTTTTTGACTATTCTCCTCTGGATATGAAAATAAAGATATAGCACAGAAATAAAGTCTCTCTGTAACTCATCCTTAATTTGGAGTAAGCATGAGTTTGATGAATGTCAAAGTGAGACCTCTTGCCTTTTAAATGACATCGACAAGACCCTTTCGAACATAAACTGCAAATCTCCGCCATCGTAAATGTATGTATGCAAATGCCACACCTAAAGTCCTGTAGCGCCAGCTTAACTGCTGTGTCAGGCTTTTTTGTCCCTGGTGCTTCAACAGAAACTGAGCAGTTCAGATCCACAAATCTAAACATTTTAATGACTATGTAGGATATAAAAGTAGATCTTTGCTCCTACTCTATTTGGTACATATCTGTTTTAAGATTCAAACAATACTTTAAGAGTTCAAAATATATTTAAAAAAAAATTAAAAAATATTATTAAAGGGATAATGCCCTAAATTTGTTTTAAAAAAAGTGACAAAGATTCTGCATGAGTTTGGCTATTTCTGAAAGGCAATGCAGTCATCTGTTAGCAAGTTTCTGACGTGTACTGTATGTCATAATTCAATGTTTGATGTTAAGTTTAAACTATTTTTTGACAATTACAACTAGGTCCCTTGTAAGTAAAAGAATAAAACAAAATAAAAGCTGGGATGAAGAGTAGAGAACTGAGGATGAGGCAAGTGTGTCACCAGGCTCTAACTGAGCATGAGAGAAAGAGAGAGAGAGCACTGGTTTGAGAAATGATTAACAGGAACCAGATGCTCATTTAAACCTCCGTTTAAGGTCTAAATGTTTGGGATGAATTTTGAACCCTCTTCCTCCGATGTATCAAACACTTTCGTCTCATGTTTCTGGTCCATATGGGTTTCACTGGCAAAGGGTGCACCTCCTTAGGGGTTCCTGGTCTAACACTGTCACCCTTAGGGTGCACAAATGTGTCCTTATGACACACACAATCACGCACACACACACACACACACACACACACACACACACACACACACACACACACACACACACACACACACACACACACACACATAAAAGAGAGAAAAAAGCTCATCCTGGAATGAATCCTGTTAGTAATGATTCCCAAGTGTTAAAGGAGCTGAATCACAGAGAGATATAGGAAAAATAGAGATGATTAGTTACTTGAGCAGTTTGTGTGCAAATTAGAGTTTAATTTCGTGTCTTGTCAATAGGATGACTTCCATGTTAAGGGATTGTAAGACACCTTTCAAGTGTGGATGTTTTGTAACAACTGTGCTGCCTCAGTCTGGGTCTGGAGCGTCTCCTGCTGCTTCAGACAGATTTGTCTTCTGCTTGTATATGAAGGTCAACAGGAAGAGTGCAATGTCATGTGAGCACCAGTAGCCTGTGTGTGACGTCACTGCCGACCAGTATCGACTTTCCACGAGACCCTCTCTGAGCTCGAAGTCGATACGCCGCTCCAGCTCCACTGTAAGACAGAACGAGAGGCGTTTTATCACAAGCGTCGTATTTTTAAGCCTCGTTCTTTAACAGCGAGGTAGAGACGACTTACATGATGTGTCACCCGTGGGTGAAGTGGGCCGAGTCAGGGTGGAGAGGCCGTACGCTGACTGGCTTTCTGTTCGCTTCTGCTCCTCTTCCTCAGGGTTCCCGCTTCCCTCAAGACCTAAAGACACCGACGGCTGGCTGTTGGAGCGAGAGAAACGAGAAAAGAGGATGCCTCCGATGCCTTTCCCTATGCTCGCCGCTCCTGTGGTGAGAGTAAAAAGGGAAGGAGGAAGAAAAGATGTGTTTAGTGAGGAGTGGCACACAACAAGGCACAAAAAGGCTGTAATGGTGTCTTTGTTTTCTTTTTTATCTAAATAAATTAGTTTCAGGAGGAGACAGTTCTCCAAAGCGCCACATGATGGCACTGTTGTAGCTCTTAAACCTCTTTGTTATTTCAACACTGAGCCTCACAGGAGCAGAGAGATTTTACCTATTACCCTGGAGATATCTCAGGAGTGGGTTTTAATTAGCTCAGCTCTGTCTCTGAGCTTCTCTTTGCTGTTTGTACTCATTTTAATTCCCTACGTAAGCTTTTAAAGAAACTTGGAAAAAGTGCTTGCTTATAGAAAGAGAAAACGTTCTCTCCTTCTTAAAACTTCGAAGGTCTTGTGGCATGATTTCCCCCCTTTCCCAGTTCCCTGCTGGTCTGCATTCACAGCCCAATTGAGCCTGGGCACCATCTCACCCAGTATGCTGGCCTTTCCCAGACTGGTGATGGACTCTCCATAGTGTCTGCGTACAAGAACAGGAGAGGTGCTCGGGCTGGGGATGCTCTCAGTGTCAGATGGTGGGTCCTTGACGGGGTTCAGGAAGGTCGGTCTGACCTCATCATAGGTTGTGGGGTTTGTGGCACTACACCTGATGGAGATGACACACAAGGCTTAGATACACTGTGAACCACTACAAGACAGCATCAAGTGAGGTTAAATCTGAGTTCTTACCAGTGTATCTGAATAGGTGCGATATTGCTGTAATGTTTGAGGATGAGAGGCTCCAGCCTGTAAGCCTAAACAAAGCAAGACGACCTCAGTTAGCTTACAGTCCAAATAAACGTTTTCATTCAAACATCTGCTTGAGAGAGTAACAAAGATCTGGTTTCTTTTAACAGAGAACAGCGGAGAAAGAGGCAAGTCTGGTAAAAACAGCAGATTTCCTCTTATATCACACCCTAAACGTGTGTGGGCCGAGTCAAAAACAGCCTAGAAAACAACACAAAGAGTCTTCAGCTGCGTGAAAGAGAGAGGGAGAGCATCTGTATGGACGAGGACAAGGAGGGTAGACTGACCACAGGGTCTGTGGGGTGGAAGACGTTGAAGAGCCTGCTGCAGATGGAGGTGGGCAGGATGTGGTCCTGGTGGCAGCTGGTACCGGGGCGGATACCCCTCAAGGCCAAGAACACCGCCAGGGGGGATCCCATGCAGAAGAAGTTTTCCACCTGAAGGAAATAAAGTAAGAAGACGATGATGATGATGATGATGATGATGATGATGATGATGATTGTCCTAAAAGGGAGTCTAAAGTTTTGGTGGCCACCTCATACCTTAAATCTGAGTGCTGGTGGTGCTGAAGGTTTGGAGGCCTCAAGTGTTTGGAGCTGATTTTCCAGCTCTCTCAACCTATTAAAAACATCACAGAAAAACAAAATACACGAGAAATGAGATGAAATACAACTCTTTCGATTTCTATTTAGGGTTAGTAATCTCTCCTCTCTGCAGCTTCCTGTTTTGCAAAGGTAATGGAGCTCATGCTTAAAGATACTCCGCACACAGAGATATGAAGGGCGAGGCAGATGAGATGCAGCAAAAGCTTTCTCCATTTGTCTACTCAGGAAATAAAATTTGCCACCTGACAATGGTGTATGAGATGAGCAGATCACTGACACATTATGAGTAACGTGTTCCTAAAGTTATTCTAAATCCGTGCTCATGACTAAACTGGTGATTTGACAGACATAGAACAGGCCAATCCAGGAGCGACGAAAGGTTTGCACCTGTTCCTCGTGTGCCGTAGCTGCTCCAAAAGGTGCCTCTCCTCATAGGACATCCAGCGCAGGTCGAGGTGCTCCTCTACAGCGTGATGCTCCTGCAAACAGAAGCGCACGGGATCCCACCCCGTCATGATATCGTAAGTTATAACGCAGCCGAGGGAGTGGGAAACGATGGACACTTTGCCCCCTCGCTCCTCAAACTCAGGGTTCCGGGAGCAGAAAAGCGAGTAGAGTCTGTTTAGCTCCAGTGTCAGGCCCTTTGTAATCTGGGGAGACAAGGAGAGAAAAGGAAGTTAAGGGCGTAACAAAGAAGTTAATTTACTGGTTTTATAAAACTGCGTGACTCTGACCTCATCCCGGTAAAGGGGGCTGTTGTAGTACATGATATCCATGGCACTGCTGTTAAGTAGATCCCTCAGCCCTCGCACTTTGTCCGGTGTTATTGAGTCGACCGTATCTTCAGGAACAAAGGGGCAATATTATATTAAAAACCTGATTACAACTTGAGATTACCACTTAAGAGCCAAAACTGCAACTCAAAAACACACTCACCTCCATCCAGTGCGAGTTTGGATCGCCACTCAACGGGCAGGAACTCCACATGCTCATCATTGTGCTCTGAAAAGTGCTTTTCCTCCATCTTCCTCACACCCTCCCTCAGCCTGGACAGACATTATAAATCAGAACAACACAGTATATGAGGAGGAGGGTATTTGAAATGCGTGTTGACTGACTGCTAAATAAGAGTTCAGCTCATCATGCCCACGTCCAGGCTCGACAGAAGAAGAAGACTCTCTTGAAAGTCTATGTTGTTTTCTCTTTGACTTTTATGAGTGTCTGCAAAAAAAACAAATGACGCCTACTTCGCTGCTCACTGATGCAGCAGCTTCACTCATGCAGCACTCACACACACACACACGCAACGTTTGCAAAGCTACTTGTCCTATATGAGGCAGCATTAGCTCCCAGGATACACTAAACACACAGAGAGACAAAGGGCGAGGAAGGGCGTTGACATGAGTTAATGGATGCCTGAGAGAAGCTTTTAGGTGGATGGTCTGACATTGGACGGGGAACATAATGCAGGTTTTTTTGACAGCACTATATGCAGGCGAGTGCGTGTGCAGGAACCCTCAGAGGGTGGTGCAAAGTATTTCTATGCAATGAGTCTAATAATGCTCTCCTCTCCCGCAATTCAGTCATTCACAAGTTCCTTTCAAACTCAAAAAATGAATAAAGTTTAAATCAATGCATGTTTGAAAAAAGTAGCTAAACAAGACAGAGGCTAGACCTGTCCGGGTTATCTTCTCCGACGAGCTAAGAAAAGCATATTCTGTTGTAATCCACTGGGAGTGAAGCTTAAGGTGCTATGCAGCTTGTCATGGTCTACTTTACCTGCTTAGCTGTATTAAGCTGATGGCAGTGGCCTGAGGCCAACTTTGTGACACAAAGACACACATGGCAACCTGCCAGAGGAGATAAGGCGTGCAGAGACAGTCGCTTCTTTAAAGTCAAATTTAAAAACTCACTTTTACAGACTTGCTTTAACGTGATGCCGTCTTTTATATGTTTTCTCTTTTACCTCTTTCTTAATTCGGCTTTACTGTATTTTTAGCTTTTATCATACTTAAAAGTATTTTCTTAATTAACCTTTTAGGCCTTTTATTGTTTTATCTCTTGTTCATTTCTGTTATTCTAATTTATCTATTTTATCATTGTTATTATTTTCATTATTATATTATTTTATCATCATTATTAATATTGTCTTTTATATTTACTATCCTGTTTTTTGCTTTTAATCCCCCTTTTTACAGCATTTTCTCTTTCTTACCTATTTAGTGTTTTTATTTTGGTCCTCGTGGTCTCATTTTATGTTGCATGGTTCTTTTATTGTCTGGGTTCCTTATGACATATGAAAATGGCCTTCACTTCTGTTTTAACTGAGCTTTTTGTTTTTATTTCTATGTACTGACGTTCTGTGCTTTATGACTATTTGTCAAAGCACTTTGTAAACTTCTGTCTTTAAAAGTGCTATAAAAAAAAAGTTATTATTATTATTATGGCTCTGATCCATGACTGCAAGTTACATTCATGGTCCAGGACCAGTACAGTGGGGTTACTTAAGGTCAGACAATGATTTATTAGAGTGCATCACAAAATAACAGAACAATGAATGGGCTGAGCTTAGTCATAATGATGTTTCAAACCTAACCATGATTTATTCATTCATTCATTCTTTATTTAGTTGGTAAGTTTTCCACAAGTATCCACTCATAAGTTACCGTTTGTGATATTGTTATTTAGAAGGATGAATCTTTCTAATATAATATCAAGAGCATCAGGACAAAATAAAATTTCATTTGAGCTGCTTTAAAATTTTCTGACTCAGATTCGGCACATAAAGAGGCACGGCCTGAAATGCTGTATTGCATTTTTACTGCACTGTTTCTGTATTTGCTTGTGTTATGCAGTCGAGTCTAACTAAATGCTCCCTTAGGTTTTATCAGATTTTAGTGCATTCTGCTTTCTTGGCTGTAATACTGCAGGCAATCTAATAAAACGACTTATAAAGTAATAGAACAATAGGAGAAGACAGAGACTATAAAAACAACTCTGCGTGCTTATGAAGTGTGTGGGACAATTTATCATGAAGGTACCAAGTGACCAATCAGAATCAGTCGAAGTCATGGCTAGAATTTAAGACTCTTTACTAGCCTGATATGAGACGGTGATCAACCTTACAAACAAGAATATCACACAGTCTGAACTCAACATCACCGACTTGTAAAAACAGGCAAATGACTCACATTCCAGTGTTTTTGATAATGCGGCCCTGGTCCATCTTCTGTCCTATCCCATGAACCACAAAGACGATGTGCGTAGTCTGAGGCGGCCTGTCCTCAGGTGAGGCCTCCTCAACAAAACCCCGATGGAGCCGTGTTCCACTGCTGGAGGCTGTGAGAGGACAGAGGACAAAGAAGGACTTCTGTGACTAACTGATAAACAATGGAGGACATTTCTACACTGCCAATTACACATGAAGCTGCTTGGTCCACCAAAAGGCTATCTAAGTAATGGTATTTACAGTAAGTAAATACTCTTCTGAGTCCAAAGAGGTCAGTAGGTGAGGCACAAAGTCCTTTACTAAGACTCTCTAGACGTGCATGTATTGTGCCTGAGGGGTTCAGTGTACCAGACTATAGATTATATAAAGGGACACAAAGTCGTGTGCAGTGCAGTGCAGCCGGGTGATAGGAGCCAATGGAATTTGCTGTCTAGATAGCAATAAGTAGATTTACCCTCAGGGAGCATTGTTTGTCGAGGAAAACCGGGATGACCAATGCCAACTCCTCTGTGTCTAACCTTTGAGATGAAAATCACCATGGAGATAAGAGACTATAAATAAGACTAAAGCTATTTTTTTACAGAATGAACATCTTACTGGATGACAAACTTCAAATGCAGATCCTGATAATCGCACATGTGCAATGAATCAATCTTGATTTATACAAAAAAGCTGGTCTAGACCGTCCTCTACTTTTCTGCACCGATTCAGAAAATGGTGGAAAACTGAATGTAACTGTAAATTAACATGTGTATTATATGTGCGTTCCATTGTGTACATGCTAGCATGATTATGTTAGTGTTAAACTTGATCGTCACTCTTCAATTCGGCCCCAGCTCGAGTTAGGATGTATTGTTTAAATCATGCATATCTGACCAACATATTCATGCTGGTTTAACAATAATAATAATAGTGATAATAATAATAATATCAAAAACAAAAATAACAAAAAAAAAAAAAACATAAAAAAAAAAAAAATAATAATAATAATAAATAAATACAAAATAAATAAATAATAATGATGATATCGATAAAAATAAATATTAAAAAAATAAAATAAAATTAATAATAATAATAATGATATTGATGATAATAATAAATATCAACTAATAATAACAATAATCATAATAATAATAATAATAATAATAATATTGTTATTGTTATTATTTTGTAGTTGTACAACAATAGTTCTCAAACTTTTTGAGTCATGACCCTCCCCCCATGAAACCAAAATTCTGTACAAGAAGCAATAAGACAAATTACCTATATCTTTGTGATACAGGTAGTTTAATGTAAGAATCATGACCCTGTTCAAAAAGGTATTTTATTTAATTTTACTGTGTTTATCTCATCTTTCACTATCCGGTAACCCCATTGAGGTTGGGCTCCCAGGATTCAGAACCACTTTAGTAGAAAAAACAGTTATCAAGTTGTGAGTAGTGAGAGTAAAACACTTTTTCAAATCATGTAAACTATTGAATTTTTCACTCACAACACCTGTGTATAGTAAAACCCATGTTTTGTTAAAGGGCAGTGAGAGTGTGCACATAACATACCTTTGGAGAAACCCAGTTTCTGTGTGACTGTGCGTGCAATTTTGGATGTGGTTGCGTCGCTGTAGAGGTACACCTCATCAACACTGTGCCAATCCACGTGGGTCCGACTCAGCTTCAGACTGTGGATGGCTGTAGAGGAGGGCAGAGAAAGAGAGAGAGAGAGAGAGAGAGAGAGAGAGAGAGAGAGAGAGAGAGAGGAGTGAGTGCATGAATTAACAGAGGAACAAGAGGAGGGCACTGGCAGATGGTGTGGGAAATAGAGCAAAGAAAAGGGTGGGGTGGAGGGTGGAGGGAAGAGGGGAAGGAGGAGAGTTTACTAAATCAAAGGGTTGTGATTACAAAATCCAGAGAAAGAACAGAGGGATGGAGATTGAAAGCACACAATAGTTACACACAGTAGTAATAATCTAAAAATGCAGCACAAAAACGCTAATCTATTCACACACAGCTCAATCAAACTCCCTTTGGAGTATTGATCTGCAGTTAGAAAGAAAAACACACCAATCTACCACAACATGACGGCATATTTCAGCTCTTGCTTGTCTGTCCTGCTTGTGTTTCATCAGTCTGAAGACATTTTTACAAGTGGATAATATGTAAATTCAGTTCAGTTTTCTCCATCTTGTTGCTTCAAAGTGAAACGCAGTGATCAGAGCAAGTAAGAGCAGAGGTATGGCTCGAGAGGAGACGCTGTTTGCTACAGAAGCTCGGGGCCATAAATGAAGGGGATTGACTTGAGGGAGTTATTTATGTCTCTGCAGCATGTCCTTAAAAACGTCCTGTGCAGTCAAGTTCATGTGGATGAAATAGGCGGAAGACTTTGGCGCGGGTCCAGTGCACAGTCATGCCTCCTTGTACTGGTCTGAACCAATCTGGGGATTAAGCCTGAAGAACGTAAAGAACTTGGAGGAATAACAGGTTTCAAAGCAATCTTAGAATCTTTAGCAATACACTGGAGTCGCATATAGAATTGTAAAATGCTGTGCTATCGACGGATTACTTTACTGCTCAGAAAACACACTGAGAACCTGAGACTTACTGTAAGTGTTCTGGACAAACTTCAGATGACTCAAGAGCAAGAGGATAATACTTTTGTGGAAGGTAAACACCCATAAATAATAAATCGAGTTTCTTTGGCAGAGCCGTATCCAGGTCTACAGGGAACAATAAGACTTTTGTCAGGAAACTCAAAGGCACTGTTGCTTTCTTTCAGCTTGTTAATGAATTAAACAAAATGTATAGGCGCTGGGTCTTGTGAGCGTCACATGGTGGACTTCAGCTTGGCCTCTGCTACCTGGAAGGCTAATTTCTTCACCGGACCAGCATTAATGGAGGGTAATATGAGGCCGAGCAGTTATATTGCACCATTTCTGAGACCTGTTCCCTCTGAGGGCAACCAGTGAGAAAAGGGACGGCTGGTTCGCTCATTCGTTAAGAGCTTAAGCTAAATTTGGACACACAAAGGGAAGGGCACCATGTTGTTTTTCTGGCTGGATATCAAAATAAAGCTAACCTCCTGAGGGGCTCGATGGAAATTTGGCTGCATACACAGTCACTTCTGTCACACATTTCCACTGTTATATCTTTAAATAAACCCACTCCACTGCAAAGTAATCATATGCTTACCTATATTTCCACACAGAAAATGTCATATTACCCCTCTTGGACAGCAGCAGAAAAAGCAAACAACCAACTGTTCGCAGAAAAGAAATCTTCACCACCTACGCTGGCTTCAACTCAAACGGCCTAAAGCGGCCTCATTTTATCCTCTACCTCACTAACATGGTGGTGAGGACAAAGGAGAAAAAGACAGTGAGAGGCGTCACGAGACCTCCACTGGGCGGGTGAAGCCGCTTCAGGCTGATGAGCTTCACTCACGGCAAAGTGTACAGTAAAACAGGAGGTGTTTGCTCAACTAGAATAAAAATACATATTTGCTAATCTTTAAAATATGAAACCGGATTGACAAATGTAGAATAGAGCGAGAGTGATGCTTAGGGGCACTTCCTGTTTTACGATTACAAGCAATGCATTGTGAAAGTAGAAGAAAAGAAATGGGATAAAAGTGGACTGAGGAGTTGGCTGTCAACCAACGAGTTTCAAGAGTTGAACTGGAGAACTTTGCGACCAGTCCATGTGGGGCACGGGGTTGAAAATAATAGACAGAGGAAAGTTTCTGAAATTTGAATCCATTTTAATTTCACAGGTCAATACGAAACATAATACTACTCTTTATCAGGGCTTAATCGGGGCTTTATGGCCACAATGCTGAAGGAGAATTTGCAGGAAAAACTTTGTGGCTGATAAACACTGAGGTTGAATTCAGGTTTCCCTCAATGGAAGGACCTGTAACATATTATTGGGAAGAAAGTCAAATTTTTACGGTCATCCTCAGACATCTAAAAATCAGCTTTGGCTCAATAAGTGAGGAGGAGGCACAGGTTAATACTCTCCGCTAAGCATTTTTGACGAGGGTCAATACACTCAAAACTGGGGCAGTGATAGACCTCTTAACAACATGTCAGAAGGCGATAGTAAAGGGCCACAAAGGCGGCCCTGTTCAGCTCATCACTTGCGCCTGGCTCTCAACAGAGAGCTTTGTCCATTGCCCTTAGAGCGAGAGCTGGAGTTGGTGGTTCATTAATGATGGTCATACTGCCAGAGGGGGATAAGAGAGAGAGGGGAGTGAGAGAGAAAGTGGGAGACAGTGCTTAGAGAGATGAAAATAGAGGAAGGGAGGCTTTTTGAGGACCGGCTCATTTATCCTTTGGTTGAAGGGGGTCCTTCCCAAGAAGTTTACATTACCATGATGTTGGCTCACAATCTCGACAAGGAGATAAGAGAAAGACACAAATGTTTCCTCAAAAAGCAGCGACAGCACTACAAAAGTCTGGGTCACAGCACAAAGGGGAAAGCTCTAGAAACTAGGCCCAGTTAAGGCTGCAATGGAGACCTGGGACAGCAGCCTTAATCCATTTGAATACAACCGTTTCTAACTGAGCCTAGGTCTAGCTCTTGACAGCAGATTGAACAGGTCTGCACCACAACAGAGAGGATGATCTAGTCCCATGAGGACCTAGGATCTACAAGGAGAGAGGGTACAGGCTAGCAGATCTAATACAGCAAAAAAAATAAAGATAAAAACGTGGTATTTCACAGTACCTTGGCAGCGTTTGCGCTTGTGACATGTGGTTTTAGCACTCGTCTGATATCCACTCCATTTGAACAGAAAAGGGAGGTAGAAAGGGGGCAGGTGGGAGAGAACTAACAACCAAGAGAGAGTGAGTAATTGCCATTACCCTTGTGTCAATCACACAGGCTACCGCTGTCATCGCTCTGGAGCAGGGCAATTTATCAAGTAGCGCTGCTATCAGGTTCATGGCCCTGTGTGCAGAGCTTGAACTGATTTATGACTGAACCCGGTGGCTGTAGGTAGATATTATGAAAATAAATTCAAAATATGCCTCGTAAAAAGAGTAGAGTATGTCTACAGCTCATAACGCAGCGCTGCTTGAGATTTGCCTCAGATGACTGAGGTAGGATCTGTTCAACAAAGTTTACCACTTTTCCTGTAAAACCTTGACACTTTCAGTAATCTCCTTAAATGGGCAGTGCTAAAAGACAAAGGTGATAGATTCTTCATTATTGCACTCATGTTTAATATTAAAATGACTGCTGTAACATGTAAAAAAAACTGTGGCACAAAAACAACAAACTAGCAATGTTTTCAAACCTTTAAAAAAACAGCATGGGGCAGTGTTTTTTTTTCTGTTTAAGTGAATACAGTTAATATGATAGGAACGTTTACAGCAAAGGAAGAAAGTATGACAGAATATTAGGGCCACATAAAAAAAAAATGACTGAATAAAGTCGTTAATTTACGAGAATAAAATCATTACTAAAGAGAATAAAGTTATAAAAAAGTAATTACTTACGAGCATAAAGTCGTACAAAAATCATTACTTACAAAAATAAAGTCGTAATAAAGTAAATTCCTAGGAGAATAGTCGTATTAAAGTATTTATGAAAATAAAGTCGTAATAAAATCATTATGATACGTATGATAATGTGGTGCTGATGTGCCAAAACATTAAGTATCTCCCTGTTTGAGAAACCCATATTGGAGTACATTTTCACGAGATGCTTCATGGCTTTCATTTCAACAACTGTAATCTTAAAAAGCAGGTTGGAATATAAGGACTTTATTATGACTTTACTCTCGTAAGTAATTACTTGACTACGACTTTATTCTTGTAGGTAATGATTTAATTACGACTTTATTCTCGTTAGTAGTGACTTTATTCCCGTCAGTTTATGACTCTAATCTTGAAGTCTTAATTTTTTTTTCCGAATGTGGCCCTAATACTCCGTCATAAGAAAGAATCTGACTGCAAGAATTAGAAAAAAACGAAGTAAAACTGTAATATTACTCTGAAGTTGGTATTTGGCATTTGGCTCATCCATGTCTGCGTTTTATTTTACCAATCACAGATAAAGTCAACTAGTCCAAAAGTGTGCATCTTTGGCTCTGCTGCTGCTGTGTCTTTCCCTCAAGGTTTGTTTTCACTCAACACTCTGTATCACCTTATGTCCCTCCTATAACAAGATTTGCTTCCATGTTTTCCTGACTGGAGCATTGGTTTAAAAAAACATTCTCACAGACTTGAATAACTTTCTATTCCGACTGAACCGCAGCAAATAAGCAAATGTTTTCTTTCACGGAATAAACTCTTACACAGACGCGAGGAACTGTTTTTCATGATAGAAAAATAACTATCTGAATATGATGTACCCACTAAATCAATGTTAGGTTATGTCTTTATCAGGCATTTTAAAAAGGCCTCTTCTACATTTGTGATTCAAATCAGCTCAGTCCACAAGCCTCCCATCGGACTAAATCGTTCACTCTGTAAAAACACAGACATCAGACTTGCAAATGTCAGCAGTGTGTCCTTCAGCAAAGGTGAAAGGCTGCAGAGGAGGACGACAAAGAGGAGACCTGCTGAGTGCACAGGAAGTTTGCTTGTTTGCTGTAAAAGCTATTAGTAAAATCCATTTGGGCATTACAGCGATGATGGAGCCATACATAAACAGATGTTCCCTAATGACTGGAAGATCTACTGTGCATGGACTCCTCATACGGCTGTACTTGGAGTCAATTCATTTGTAACCATGTTTACACTAAGACTCATGTTTGGGTTCCAGCCCACACAACATGATAACTGAGTCTCATGAAGATACATAACTAGATTTTGTACAAATGAATGATCTTTAACTCCGTATCTCAACTATTTTAATGTTTATTGCTATTTTTAATACCTTATTTCCAATGCCTTTCCCTTTATCGTCTTAATAACATAAATTTTACACTACTCTCTCCTTTTAAATCCATGCTCAAATAAGAGCTAGTCATGTGATTTGTAATTTCCACACTCTTACCTAACATGTCAATTACCAGAAAAGCTGCGTGTTGCCACCCTCACCTGCTGGTTAAATAAATAGGCAGCTGGATATGAAGTGTACATTAAACAAACATGCAGGCCTTGGCTACACCAAAATTGTTATGTTGAAAGATAATCCTGCGCCCAGCCCACTGGATCTATTTTTCCTTGACGTGTTAGGAGGCAGACAGACTAGGACACACCCTGGAGTTTGAACCGTTGACACGCTACACTACACTTATACACAAACAAATCAGAGAAGCTCGGCGGGAATGGATCCTCTTCAGATATACGCTCTTTACTTTATATTTTTCCTGATTTGTTTAAAAGCATAGCTAAGAAATAAATCATGCTGATGAAATCTACACAAAAAGAGACTGCCCATTGTTTATGAAACAGCAGCACTCTTTTTTTACAGTCTCACATGATAAATAGGTGATAATAGAAAAAAGTCAGCCACCGAAAAAGGTGGATATCTTTTAAATGACTATTAAAATGCATTTTGTAGCTTGCATAAGCCAACAAGTGAATCCTAATTAATCATAGTGTTGTTAAAGAACTGCTGTGAAAACATTTAACTACTCGTCACCATTTAAACTGATTATTAAGGCGTCTATTGTTTACCTCCCTCCTTTAAGTTTAATAGGAATAAGCAGAAAATTGTGCCTGTATCTTGACAGGACAAAACATCCTTGTACATAATGTGCCCAGCAGTAGTCCTGCCCACATTATATGATATGATGCCAGCATAGCATGTTGGTATGCCGACCATATGATATCCGCTTTACTAACCTTTAGTCTTGACACAAGGAGGAAAGTAGAGGAGAGTACAGATAGGACAGGGGAGAGATAGCAGGAGAAATATACGTGCTGCATTAATGTCTGAACACGGCTCACTGGTTTTAGGGTCCATTTATCAAATGCAACGCAGTTCAAGGCAGCCTTTTTATGGCTCCAGTTTCTTCAGATTACTAGTTCCTCGATAGAATACTCTACTGTAAAAGCTCAAAAAAATAAAATAAAATAACCAATGTGACGCTAATTAAGAGGATCTATCAATCTTTGTTTTAATGCTCTGCTAAATAAGCGACTGGGAGACAATCTGCCAACAGGACGCAGCAGGAGGTTCCCAAACAGATGCCCAATGTTTCAACTTCCATATATAAAAAGAGATCATTAAAATATGTGAAATGCAAGTCATCATAATAGGGAAATGTGAATTTTACTGCACTGCTCAGCCTTGCAGGGATACAGCTCACCAAGTGGACAAACTAAGGTCATATGATCTGTGTGCTTTGCAGCAAGGAGGGGGGCTTCCAAATGTCACACAGCCCATTTGTGTGCCCTTGGTTTGTGTTGTATCTCACATATATGGCTTTGATATCATCTTGTCTGTGATCCCTTTGTCATGTGTGAATGTTTATAGGCCTGTGTCCATATACAGACTTTACTGTGACCATGTTTACATGTCAACAAAGACTTGCAGGGTAGCAGTGACCTTCCTGTTTGGTCCTATAACTCCTCTGATTCAGGAAAACCTCTAGTAATCTCTTCTCTTTGCCAGGTTGTATCGTTCAGTTAAGATGGATAAACAGATTGAAGCTTTGTCTGATTACTGTTTTTTTTTTACAGTGATTCTTTAAATCAACAGAGAATTTGAATTTTGCATTAATATTCTGGATTACACCAGTGATTTTGATGCATGTTCCAGTCTGTCATGCATATTTCACAGTTTTTTTACAATGCAAACTAAGCATCTCACACTCTCTAGCAGTTGCTGCATCCTTCTCTCTCTGCTCCTCTCGATTATCTGACACTTTCGCACACCCACACACATTCATCAGCGCTGAAGGTCCTGTAGGATCCGACTGCCTTAAGGAGACTGCTGAATCAAAGGGCCCCTTTCTTATTGCCTGTCAGAGCTTCGGCTTGCTACATTTTGCCTGAGCCAGCTCTGTCAGAGAGAGTGTGTGCCAGAATGTACGAGCTGCACCTGCTTTACATTGGGAGCATGACATGACAAAACCAACACGCTCCTGAATAGAGGCACCTGCTCCGTTTATTTCTCTCTGCTGTGGATCAAAACTAGGTTGTCAAATCGCTCTCCATTGATGCCTGTCTTCTGGCCTTGTTGTTCAGATCATGACTTCACTTTTTGAGGGAATTTATTTCTCATTACCCACACTGCAGCATATCATTACCTCCCTGTGAGAACATATTATAACTATATGCTGCCTGACTGGAATGGAAACTACTCCATGGTGAGTGAAGGCAGGATTGTAGAAGAAAAAAAATTGTAATCTAGCTTTTTATATTCAAACCCTAAATTACACTCTGAAATCATGACAACATTTACCATCAAAGGTAGTCGTAATCAAGTTTTTGAACATGTGTGTTTATGTAATCATTAGAAAGCAGGATTAAAGGCACAATATCGCAACATCTCAGGAGAAATGGAATATAAAACTCAGAAGTATGTGTAAATGAGAGTTTGAGCAAAGGATATTTCAATCTAGGATCTGCCTGTTCGAAATAGCTAAATACGCCCACACTTTCCCTTAAAGTTTTTGATTTTTTGTTTTCTAAAAGACCAGATAGTTTTTAGTTTCATGGGATTGAGTCACTCACATTTACATGGCAGGTTTCCATCTGATGTCATGATGTTGTCAGCAACCTGGCAGCAACATTTCATTCCCCAGCCTAAAGGTCTTTACACACCAGGACCGTTTTTTTTCGTGCGATTATTTCGGACGTCAGTATATTTTTTCAAACCCGTATCCTGTCAATACAAGCGTTCACATCACCGACGTTTTCCCGTCCTGCAATATTGCGGCATTTATTTTTTCGGATCGTGGTCGATTTTTTAAAGTTTGCATACTGTGTGTCCACTTCTGACCAATCAGATTGCGGGTTGTTGCGACGTCAGATTCACCAATATATCCGAGATGGTCGACCGGCTGATTGTTTACGTGTCGGAGAAAAGAGTGCTTTATGATAAAAGACACAAATATTACAAAGATAAACGACCTGAAGGACAACTTGTGGAGAGTCATAGCGTCAGATCTCTCATATGACGTTAGTTTGTGCGCTAAACGTCTTTGTTTTAACTTTCATCTGTGCTAACGTAAGCTAACAGTTGTTACCATAGTTTCATGTACTTATCTTATCGTCTCTGATTGGCCTAAGTGCTGACCGTTTGGCTTGAGCGTGTGATGATGTTTCCAGCTTTTCTAGCCAATCAGAGGCGAACGAGGCGGGACTTTCCACGGCAAAAGTCCTCCCCCGGGATACATCTTTTCCCCCCGGAAAGTCGTAAAATCGCTTGGGCTTGATGTGTATAGTCAGGCGCTTCAAAATTCGCCTCCAGATATTTCGTACTTTCGCGTTCTGTATTCGTGTCGGCCCCGGTGTGTACGGACCTTAACCATGTCTTCAGGATTTAATTGCCTTTACGTTGACATGAGGATTTCTCACACTCACACCAACTTATCCTTCTCCTTTCTCTCACCATCTTTGCTATCGACGGTCTTGACCACCAGATCTGTCTCGAAGGTGTCCTGTATTTGTTGCCCGCGGAAATGGTTCAGGTGTTCCTGCTCGATGAGGTCGCTTTCCTCCTCCTCTAAAGGGAGCCAGGTACCGTCAATAAACCATTGGCCTCTCATGACTGGAATGTGGTCTTGCTCTGAAAAATAAAAATAAACGATTAAATGTAAGGATGTACAAGTTAAAGATGTCACATTTCAAAAGTCAGTCTTACGATAAATCCATACTAACAGTGCTGTAACACTCCCTGGGTACTCCTCCTTGAACGTTACATAATTTTCATTCAGCTGAACAAGTCTGAAAAATCCAGGAGGGCCAAGTCTCTGTGGCATACGGAGCGAGGGCAGTTTTGATTACAGTCTACCGTGAGATTATTAACTGAGTCTCTTTTGGTGAGTAAGTGTGCACAGGTAGCTCCAAATGTTGGCAGACTCTTGAGAGGTCTGTACTGAGAGACACTGCTCGTCTGGATGAATACAGAGACACATGGGCAAGCTTTATGACAGATGAAGAACCCCACCATAATTGAAGGATGTAAGGTAAATATTATTAAGTCTCAGTCATATGTGTATGTTAGCTGTGGGTGCAAGTATGCAGGGATTTTGTACAAATACATGTTTTTTTCATAACCAGGCCACATGCCAGTCTCTCATCCACCCTGGGCCATGATAGTCTTGCATGCATCTCATCCACACTCTTCCTCATTCAGCAGTGTGAAGCCAAGTGTGCTGCTCTGTTTTGGATGAGACGGAGCTCTCATTTTGAAGTGTTGGACCAGATTACTGGATTGTTTTTGAGGAGTGACTAGACGTTATATCGAATAACTTCATTTATTACTATTATTACTATTTTTGTGACGTTGAAATTGAGCCCATTTAGAGACAGAGACACAAAGATAATAGCTATTGGTTGTTCCGACTACAATGCCTGCTAAATTTAACGCACATAGACGTTTATTTGTAAGTAAGACAAATGCAGAGGGTCCAAGACAGCTGCCCTGGGGAATGACTTTGCAAGAAAGTTGAAAAGGAACCACTGGACATAGTTGTGTTTGAGATAAAACAGACACATGACAGATGCACTGATAGAGGCTTGCCTTGCAGTAGATAGCGTTAGCTCATTCGTTAGGGTGAGTCATGTCTGGTTCGAGAAGATAAGTCTATATGCATTAAACAAGAAGATGATTTAGGTTGTGACAACATTAAAAGCCCCATTTAGAGAAATGTTACCACTCATAGCAACTACAGCATTATCTTGATATACTTTAAAAGATACTGTGTTTTGTGGAAATTTACATATCAAGTGCTAGACATCAGATTGTACAACATGAACCTTACACAGTGTTATGGGCAGTCTATAAACAAGGTTGAAAAGGCCCTGCAACGGTCTGAGTGGTCTACAAAGGACCAACATCCTCAGAAAAATAACTGCTTGTCTAAATGTCACTTGGCGTCAGCATCCAAAAGAGTTAGCTACGCGTGAACCTTTTCATCATGGTCAGGTTTAGGGATTTTGGTGCAGTGGCTGCCTCCATTTGCTCTCTGGCATTTCCTAGAAATATGAATCAGTTAGCACAGATCAGCTGGGGTCAATCCACGGCCTTTCTGGACCGTTGATTTTCTCTGACTGACTGTGCCATTGATATTACATGTGATTAATGTCATAAAAATCTGATCTTAGTGTAATAGTTGGGTGTAGAAGTATGTTAAGCTTAACATACTATTTGCCTGAAATGCAATACATCAAATCATAACCCTTGTGCAAAACCCAATTCCAATGAATTTGGGAAGATGTGTAAATTGTAAATAAAAACAGAATACAATGATTTGCAAATCCTTTTCACCCCATATTCAATTGAATATACGACAAAGACAACATATTTATTGTTCAAACTGATAAACTTTATTGTTTTTCTGCAAATAATCATTCACTTTAGAATTTGATGGCAGCAACACGTGACAAAGAAGTTGGGAAAGGTGGCAAAAAATACTGAGAAATTTGAGGAATGCTCATCAAACACCTATTTGGAACATCCTACAGGTGAGCAGGCTAATGGGGAACAGGTGGGTGCCATGGTTGGGTGTAAAAGCAGCTTCCCCAAAAAATCCTCAGTCACTCACAAGCAAGGATGGGGCAAGGTTCACCACTTTGTGAACAACTGCGTGAGCAAATAGCCGAACAGTTTAAGAACAACAAAGTACAATTGCAAGGAATTTAGGGATTTCAACATCTAAGATTCATAATATCATCAAAAGGTTCAGAGAATCTGGAAAATTACTGCATGTAAGCGGCACGGATGGAAACCAACATTGAACACCCGTGAGCTAACATCCCTCAGGCGGCACTGTATCAAAAACCAACATCAGTGTGTAAAGGATATCACCACATGGGCTCAGGAACACTTCAGAAAACCACTGTCAGTAAATACAGTTCGTCACTACATCTCTAAGTGCAAGTTAAAACTCGACTATGCAAAGTGAAAGCCATTTATCAACAACATCCAGAAACGCCGCCGGCTTCTCTGGGCCCCGAGCTCATCGAAGATATACTGATGCAAAGTGGAAAAGTGTTCTGTGGTCTGACGAGTCCACATTTCAAATTGTTTTGGGAAATAGTGGACGTTGTGTCTTTCAGGCCAAAGAGGAAAAGAACCATCCGGACAGTTATGAATGCAAAGTTCAAAAGCCAGTATCTGTGATGGTATGGGGGTGCATTAGTACCCAAGGCGTGGGTAACTTACACATCTGTGAAGGCAACATTAATGCTGAAAGGTACGTTTTAGAGCAACATATGCTGCCATCCAAGCAACGTCTTTTTCATGGACGCCCCTGCTTATTTCAGCAAGACAATGCCAAGCCACATTCTGCACGTGTTACAACTGCGTGGCTTCGTAGTGAAAGAGTGTGGGTACTTGACTGGCCTGCCTGCAGTCCAGGCCTGTCTCCTATTGAAAATATGTGGTGCATTATAAAGCGTAAAATACGACAACGGAGACCCCGGACTGTTGAACAACTGAAGCTGTACATCAAGCAAGAATGGGAAAGAATTCCACCTTCAAAGCTTCAACAATCAGTCTCCTCAGTTCCCAAACGTTTATTGAGTGTTGTTTAAAGGAAAGGTGATGTAGCACAGCGGTAAACATGCCCCTGTCCCAACTACTTTGGCACGTGTTGCAACCATGAAGTTCTGAGTTAATTAGTAATTGCAAAAAATAAAAATAAAGTTTGTGAGTTTGAACATTAAATATCTTGTCTTTGTAGTGTATTCAATTGAATATAGGTTGAAAAGGATTTGTAAATCATTGTATTCTCTTTTTATTTATGTTTATCACAATTTCCAAACTTCAATAGAATTGGGTTTTGTAATTAACACATGCATATTGCAAAAATGAATAACTGTATTGATGCCAGGAGTAATGTGTGTTATTAGTGAACTGAAATGAAGACATATTGTCACTCAGATCATGATACTCACGCTTCCAGTAGACAGGATTGCACTCTTTCTCCTTAATGTCCACCTCATACAGCCCTCCTCGGACACAAACTGGCTCGACGTTCATCTCAACGTTATCAGGGTCCCTCTCCTCTGAGGATACTGTAGATGTATCCATAGACCCCCGGCCTCCGTGCACACTGCTGGTCCTGGTCTCCACAGGCACTGCACCGTTCAGTCCCCTGCTGTCTACTCCATTACTACTGCATTCTTCCCCCCCAACCCTGACCTGGGAGCTCGCTGCACCAGGGTTCAGCTCACAGTATTTCCGAAAGGCCAGCTCGATTTTGAGAGAATCGTGCCCGACAAAAGGTTTCCAAGTTTTCTTGTCCTCCTTGTAAAACCACCGGACTTCCTCCGGGCCGAGCTCGGTGACCACCTCGTTGAAGCGGTGTCTGGAGCTGTTGGACCTCGACCTCTTCCTCCTCTCGAACAACGGACCCGCGTTGTTCCCGTCGCTGTCACTGTACTCCAATGAGCCGCTGTCGAGGTAGGCTGCCGGGGAGCTCAGGTCCAACAGCAGCCCGTCCTGGGAGCTAGGATGTCGGGCGTGCAGAAGGGGCAGGTGTCCCTCCAGACCCGACTGCACGGAGGACATCCCTGCTTGCATCGTGCCGTCCATCGGACTCATCTCATAGCAGCAGGGATAAACATCACCACCTGAATCCCACTTCTTGTTATTGTTGGCTGCTAGACCTTTACTCTCGGAGCCCACGGACGAGGTTTTAGCTGTAATGCTGAAACTGCTCATCACTATGAGCGACCCAACTCGTCTCTCACAACCCCGCTAAAGACGTCGGCAACAAGATAAAGTCAACAATATAAGGTGTATAAGTTCCAGAGGGGTATTTCCTTAAGTGAACCATTAGCGTGCTAGCTAGCTGAGCTGAGCCGGTTGAAAAACTCCGACGCTAGCTTATTAGCAACACCGCAACGTTGCTACCGAGGAACCTATCCCCCCGTCCTCCTTTATCAAACACAAACCGGTTTTAAACAAGTTCCTTGGTCCTGACTCGCTCTAGTCCAGGTCAACAGAGGTAATACTGTAGTCACCATACTTTCAGCGTTCCTGCTCTCTGAGGAATTTCCGATTCAATCGTTGTCTAAACAAATCTTGGATAGAGACAGCATCGTCGCGTGCGAGTTTGGCTTGACAGCTGACGCATAGATCATAGGATCCGCTCGTGAACGCGCACGTAGAAAATACGCGAACATGACGACATGGTTATTGGGCTTTCCCCTCAACCTCCCATTCACATGATGCAGCCCTCTTACAGCACACTAGATGGAGACAAATATTCAGTTATGTGAACAGGCAAATAATTAACTGAAATACTCAACTTCTATTGTAATGTCCAGGGGCGGATTTAGAAAATTGGGGACCCGAGCCATAGACAGGCATGGGGCCCTCTGTATTCTTTTATTCTAGGGATGGACCGATTGTGAAATTCTGGGTTGATGTTTTAAATAAAAATGTGGCTGGTAGCTGATGCGGAAATTTGTTTGTTGTCATTTATTTGTCTTTTTTTTGCAGGGAAACAAACAAACAAAAATCTCTATTACAAAAAATAACTGAATTGTCTTCAAGTCTCTAAATCTCACAGGAAAGATTTGATGTGAGACAGTGATGTTACAAATATAGGACAGTTTCTTAAACTGCCCAACAGTACATGAATGTTTTTAAAATTAGCTCAACCTTAAACATCAGTAAATGATAAAACACATTAAAGCAATGATTATTCAAAGCTATACCACTGACAGGCATCATTTTAATGCAGTGAGTACTTCTCTAAGTTACACACTTTTTAATGTTTTTAATGCATAACTTAACAGAACACTAAAAGTACCCCTTGGAGGACACTTATGATAGTCACTAGTTGTTCATCATCTTCACACGATGGACCCTACTCAACAGCTGTTGACCCAGTAAGATCAATATCGAATAATCAGAGCAAAAACTAAAATCACAAGTGCACTGTCAGCAATCACAGTGACAGTCAGATCCTCTTCCAATCATGTGAGATTTAGGAAATTCTCATTTTGCCTGTTTTTTCCCTGCACAAAAAAACAGCTTCAGGCATGTCCAGACATGTGAGATCAATTCAGTATAGATGTCTGTGTGAGGGGTATACTAAAAAAGAAAGGCCCAGAGGACCACAACAAAAAATATTATAATCAATATTTTCATGGATAATGAAGACCAACAAGGTAACCTAGAGATGAGAACCAAATTGGATGATAGAGAATTGTTTTTAGTGTAATTTATAGATAATTTAACACACGGGTCAAAACCGACCCTTAACATGGTGGGTGCGTAGTAAAAGCTAACACAGGAGGAAGGTTATGCTGTATTTTATATAGTACTGCTATTGACAAAGTTAGTCTTTTGTCCTGTGGATTGCTATTTAATTTGTCCCCATCATAGCAAGAAGTGGTCTTATTTTGGTACAAACCCAGTGTGGTTTAGTTGGTATGGTTTTATTTAGATTTTTTGCTTCACAAAGCTAAATGTTTGACCTTTGACACTGATATTTCAAAAATATTCACTTCAAGATATACTTTACAAAAGTAGTTTGGCACACATGAGATGACTAGTTCACACAGAAAATTCATAATAATAATAAAAGGTCTGAAGTTTGTAACAGCAGTTTTTGGGATACACTTATATTTGCTTTAAAATGTGATTTTTTTTTTCTTAGATGTGTCAAAGCTGTTATTAATAATATCTTATACCTTCCACTAGAGGGCAGCAAAAACTAACATATTTGAAAGACAACCATCCACCTCTGACATCCCAGCTGGTCTCCTTCTTTTACAAGAATTTAAAGAAGTTTACTTTTTAAAAGTACTGTTACAATCTAGTGCATGTTTTATGGGGAGAGGGTGGACAAAATAACAGGGACAGGCCACCTGCATCACTTTAAACTTTTAAAAGCATAGACTAAGGACCTATTTGATGCAGTCTGGATGCACATGTCTTCTTAGGACCATCATCCAAAATAAAAGTTGACACATGACTCAGCCTTATACAGTGACAAACATTTTAAGTAGATACACTCACCTTTTATACAACAGATAACAAAATCGAGCAAGTGCCATCGAGTGAATACCTTCAAGTTTGAGTTGGGTACACAAGTCACTGGTGTCACACAACTCCTCACAGAAACCTATTTGGAATCCATCAATGTGTTTACAACCTTGTGTAAGAGTGCATGAGTCGAAAGTGAGTTTCTGTTTGTATCATGGTGTTTATGCATGCATGTGCTGGTATGTTTGTTTATGCGAGTGCTTGTGTTTGCATAATGTGTGTTTTGTGCAGCCCCGGTTTTGTATGTGTGTTTGTGCACTGCTGGTCCAGGTGATCCTGGGGTTCGTGGTGTGGTCTGTGGGGAGAGAAGGAGAGGGATAGCAGAGAGGCCCAGGCAGCTGTATTTGGGATAAACAGACATTACCCTGCTGTGTTCTAATTTACTGCAGAGTGGGAATTAAAGTTTAAACTCGTCCCGCCCCTCTGCAGTCCAAAACTCCATGCTTCTGGCCATCAACAACCACTTGCACAATGAGCGTTATCAAAGGGTTACTCCACCCAAAATCAATCTTTTTAGTATCAGATTTGCACCCCCTGCAGGCTTGAAAAGTGGTTGTAGAAAATGTGGTAGACTTAACACCCGGAGCAGCTTTGGATTTTAAAGGCAAGGGTGCAAGACGAAAGCAGTAAATGAAGCACTCTCTTAGCATGGACAACAAATACAAGAATAAATCTGCACACAGAGATGCTACCATGTATGTTTTGCACAAAATACAAATTTATCATCTTTGGAAACTGTTGCAATTGATTACATTCAAGCTCTGCAAGAGGGACTGTTCAGCATTAACTCTTAAATGTTAAACAGGCACCTTTCTTACCCAAGGGGAGTGAGTGTTTGTTACCCAAATACAGATTAAAAGCAGTGCCAATATGATGACAGAAGAACAGAACAGTCTGAGACCATTACCTGCAAAAAAAGATGTTAAACTTTATTATTTTGCTACTTGTCTTAATTAGTTGCAAGTAACATATGGAGATGATTACACAATCCAAGTTAACTCAACACCCATGTTGTAATGTTGGTATTTGTCAGATGATAGTCATTAAAATGCTCTATTGTTGTGCAATTACAAGTCCAAGACTAATTCACATTGATGATATATCTAATTCGTAAGAGCAGAATAATCACTTGGTTAAATGGGCAGTGAGATCTCGCCAAGAACTTTCTCCCATTACAGGTTTACACTTGAGGATGACATGTGGCTTTCATATACGAATTAGTCAAATTCCTCTTTTCTGGCAGTCAAAGTTGAACAGGTTGGCCCCTCTCTCTCTCTCTCTCTCTCCTTCTCCCTCTCTCTCTCTTTCTGCTCTGATGTTTTGCAACTAGCAGGCCCACCACCTGGATGAGTGGATGACAAACAAACTGCAAATTTTCCTTCCAGTAACTGACCAAATAGATATTTATAACCAGCTGGTCATCCCCACCCTCCCTCCCCCAAACCCACTAAGGCCCCCTCTCCCCCCACAGCCGCGGCTGTGAGAGCTCCCTTTAAAGACCAGTTGTGTCACTTCTGGCTTTGTTCTTAAACAAAGAGAACTGCCCCTCATCTGCCCGTAATTGGGCCGACTCTTGGAATGTGCTTGATGTCTCCGCGCGGGCCATTGCATCTCCAACAGACAGGCTAGGGCCGCTGGGACCTGGGAGATGAATGAGTGGAGATCCATCCAGACGTCTCTTTTCTGTTTCTGTTTTTTTTTATACTGTCATTTTTCTTCCCTTGCTTCTGTCTTTCCTTTCACCTGTACTTCACCTCATCTTGAGCACCAATTTTCTCTGGATAAAAGATCTCGCTGTAAAATAAAGAAATCCCACTCTGTAAGTGAAACAAGCTGCCCATTGGTCTCTCCAAGCTGCACCACCTCACGAAGGTGGGGTAGTTGGACACACTACAAGGCCAATCCCCGGCACATGTCACTAGCACTTATTGAAGTGATGTTGACCATGGGCAGATGGTTGAGAGGGGATGGGAGGGTGTTTACTGCATTGTTACCAAAGGGAAGCAATTTAGAGAGTTCAAATTCCACTTGCAAGGAAGGAAAAAATGTTGAAACAGTAGTTGGCAGGCTACCCAAAAGCCTGAGCCCCTAATTGTTTTCATTAATAGCAAATAATCTCAAAGTGCTTACTCTGTATTCTGGGGAACATTATGTGGTTATGTTCGAGACATGTACATCTGGGAAACCTCTGAGGATTAGTTTAGAAATTTGTCTGCAGCAATCACATGAACTCCAGGTGAAAAGGTTTAGGAGTTTGACGCTTCAACCGCAGATGTGTCCGTGTTTTTGTGGAGGTGTTGTGTTCCTTTTGGTGTTTAAGCAACCTTGTCCTCTAGAATCCAACCCTTTGGTTTTGGTCATGACTCATTTACTCCTGAATCCTTCACCTTTCACCCCGGGCTCCACTCTCCATGTCACTCGCTCGCTACCCTGGATAAGTAAATACATGATGTAATGTGTGGTTTTCTCCTCCACCCCCACCAGCCTCCACCCACATCCAGGGGTGATTAAACTGGAGTGCACCAGTTTTAGGTGGGGATGGATTGGGTGTGGTTGAAAGGGTCCCAAAAAAGAGAAGTTTGGGATTTAACAAGGTTTTAGGCAAATATAATGGAAGGGGGGCAAAAGCAGGTCACCTTTGGGTGGGGCCTTAAGCAGAGTCTCATGGCAGACGTGGTGCATGTGTCTGGGCTGGGGGCTTCTCTGTCCCTTGCAGGGGTCAGGCCAGCGGCTCCACCTCCCTCCCCCCCTGCCTGCCTGTCTGGGCTCGAGGTTCCAGGTGGGTGATTGGGGCTGTTGACTCCCGCACACGGCAGCCGTTTGCTTGTCCCACTGCCCGTAACGATCTCCTCCAGGGCTACCAGACCCATTGTCATTCAGACTCTCTGCTACAATTCACAAGTCTGATATCCCTCCGCTCTGGAGCCTGGCCTGGGATGGGCTGCCTGACTAATGTCCCCATGTTTGTTTGTGTGAGGGGATGTCAGTCTCTTGAGACTAATCAGCCTGCATGTGTGCTGATAATGTCATTACAATCAGTCGGTTGCATGCAGACCTCATTCAAAGGACCAGTGTTGT